GCAGGAGGCAGCTGGTCGATGTTTTTCTCTCATCGACGTTTCTAGCTATCCCTCTCCCTTCCTCTCTGTGGAAAATCAATAAAATATATTTAAAAAAAAATATATATAATTTTATAGTCCTTTTGGGATAAAAGATTGTTTTAATATCATTAAAATAAAAAAATTTAGAACCTGAAAAATATACTTGCCTTAAATAGAAAAAAGTTCTCATTAAACTGCTTTTTAACAGTCTTTATCAGATATCAAAGCAGCAATGATATTACTTAGACAAAATCAATTTTAGTTATTTCTTTTAATTCAGTAACTACTATTGAAAACTTCAAATTTTAAAATCAAAAGACATGATAAAGAACAGAAAGGAAATTGCTGATTTCAGTTTTTTTCTTTCTTTTTATTCCCAGACTTGGACCGACAATGGAAGGAGTCTACTTGCACAGGAAATGGGTCAAGCATCCAGGCCCCCAGCTAATCTCCTGAACAGTGTGTGAGTGAATACCTGTCTAATATCTTAATTAAAAGGGCCTTGAAGAGGTTCTTGCTAGGACAAAGGGAATCTGCTCTAACACTGAACAAATGTATCCTTCTCCAGAGTCTGAAGTCCATGAGCAACTCGTAAATGGCACATTCTAGGCTTCCTGTTAAACCTGGGTCAACTGTGGTAGCAGCTCTTTTCCTACAAGTAAGAGCCAGCAAGCCCTGGAAGGGACTACCACCCAAGGATACTAGGTCCAAGTGGTGATAATCGTCTTTATAGATAATCACATTGAGTCTGGCTCTTTGGCAGAGGAGGAGCCCTGGAACTTGCAGAAAAAGTAGAACCTGAAAAGTAGGCCTAGGAAATTGCTGCTGAGATCAGTGTCTGTGGACATAGCCTCAGGTTTTCTTTTCTTTCTTTTTTAAATTATTATTTAAAAAAGGAAGGGTGGCCACTTGGCAGAATTACAGGTTCTAGACAACAGAGTGATTCTGGCTTTCCTGGGAGACAGCTCTTCTTTCCTCTGGGTCTGAGAACATTTACTGGTAGACAACATCTGGCCAAACTCCCTGGGAGGGAAACATGGGCAGGTATGGGACACCCAACAGAAAGACTAGGCCCGGCTGGCCACAGAGGTCGAAAGTGGAGTGGGGAGAACAGATTCTTGAGAAGATAGATGGGTCATCGGTCTTTAGGTAGGAGAGGCCAACTACTGGGAGTACTTTAGGCAGAGTACAAGCTATTAATATGCTACTACATGTATAGTTGTCAGAGTGGCCACTGGAGACACTGGGTTCCCCACAGGGAAGTATGTCAGTAACATTCACATACAATGGTACAGACTTGAGAGGACAAGCATTCTGAACAAAGCTGCTCCTTCATAGATGGCTGCCTCATCTAAAGATGGCACAGCTGTCTGGAATTCCACAAGAAAACAAAGTGCCCCTTTCTAGCAATGCAAACCCAAACCACAATGAGATATCACATCGTACCTGTTAGAATGATTATGATAAAAAAAGACAAGAAATAAGTGTTGACAAGGATGTGAAGGAGAACCCTTGTGCACTGTTGGTGAGAATGTACATTGATATAGACACTTTGGAAGACAGTATGGAGTTTCCTCAAAACATTAGAAGTAGAATTCCCATATGGTTAAGCAATTCCACTTTCTGGTATACAATTGAAGGAAATGAAATCAATATCTTGAGATATCTGCATTCCTTTGTTCATTGCAGCGTTACAATAGTGAAGATGTATAAACAATCTAAGTGTTCATTAACAGACAAATAAAGAAAATGTGGCATATGTAATGTAATATTATTCCACTATAAAAAGAGAAAACCCTGCCATTTGCTACAACATGAGGGCATTAGGCTAAGTAAAATAAGTAAGAGAGAGACATACTATATAATCGCACTTATATGTGGAATTTAAAAAAACTGAATTGAGAAACAGAACAGATTTTTAGTCAGCAGAGGTGAGGGTTGAGGATGTGGGAGAAATAGACAAAGATGGTCAAAAGGTACAAACTTGCAGTTATAAGATAAATTCTGAGTGGGTAATGTGTAACCTTGTTACTACAGTTAACAACACTGCATTGTGTATGAAAGTTGCTAAAACCACAGTAGATCTGGAAAGTTCTCATTATAAGAAAATGATAACTATGTATGGTGATGGATGTTAACTAAACCATATTGTGGTGATCATTTTACAATATATACATATATACATACTAGAGGCCTGGTGCATGACATTTGTGCACTGGGCAGGGGGATGGGAGTTTCCCCCTGCCCGGTCTGGGAGCCCTCAGACATCCTTAGTGCGCCCATGGAGGCAGGCCACTGCGCTTGCCAGCCATCAGCCTGGCTTGTGGCTGAATAGTGCTCCTGTGGGAGCACACTGACCACCAGGGGGCAGCTCCTGCATTGACCTTCTGCCCTCTGGTGATCAGTGTACGTCATCGAGACTGGTCATTCAGCCATTAGGTCAATTTGCATATTACTCTTTTATCATATAGGATACAGTGAACAAATGTAGACCTAGTTTATGCACATATACACATATCAAATTCGTTTAAGGTTGTACACCTTAAACTAATAGAATGTTATGTCATTATCTTAGTAAAAATAAGAGTTGACAGCAGAAGCCCTAAGAAAGTGTGGGTACATAATCAGCCCTAATTCTGTCTTGTTGGCACAACGATTAGTTGGAAGGCTTGGTGAGTTAGGATCTATGCTAACAGTCCCTACCTAATATTATTATTAGCATTCCATGCTGATTAGGGTTGTTGAGTAGGTGCCTTACTTAATGCTGCTATAAGGTTCAAATAAACCGAGCAATAGAATCCAATATCAGAAGGGGCCCCAAAGAGTTCTGCTTTCTTTCCCCAAATGTGGAGCTTAGAATACAGTTGCATCTGAAGGAGAGAGGGTTGGTATCTGGGTGGCTGATGAACTAACTGTCTTGATTGCTGCAGAGGCTATGATAATGCTGAAGGCCTGGTGGTGGTGGTAGAGTAACCTAGGGAATATTGGTTTCTGGCTGAACCCAGCATTGTTAACTGCAGGCAGTATTCCTGCCACCTGAGGACACTGTGGGAGAAGAGAAAGTGGTGGGGATCATTGGAGATCAAGGGTGCTCCGGAATTAGCTAACACAGGTCAAAGTGGCAGCAAGCCGAGCAAACAGAAATTGTCATGTTTTCTGAAACAAAGGGGTTATGTGGGTAAGGAGGTAGTTCTGATATGCAAATCGGAGGTGGGCCTGAAGAGATTCCCTTGAAACATTGATATAATTCCACAGAAGATGCCTTTGTCTGGGAATAGGCTTATTAAGGGCTGAGAGCCAATTCCTGAATACGCCTACAAGGTAGAGAGCGGAGGGGCCTGTTCCTCATTCCCAGATCCCATCTCTCAGAGGGACTGGATTGGACAGTGATGGGAGCCTGAGTCCTCACCCAAGAAGGGGAGCATCCGTCTGCGAGGACACAAGTGACCCTGGCAGCAGGGCTGGATCTAGGCCAATAGTTTGGCAATGTGGATGGGGACCAAAGTGATTCAGGGCTCAAGGAGAAAGTCAATTTGACAAACTGGTCACACATGGAGGGCAGGGGGTCCTGGGGCTCATGAATGGGAACTGAATCTACTCCAAAGGGAAGAGAACAAATGAGGCACTGACATAGAAAACATTTCTTCAGGATTAAATCCCCAGGGAACAGTGAACAAATGTGGACCTAGGTTATACACGTATACAGTGAACAAGTATTCATTGTATTGTTGCTACCATTATGGTTTCCCTTGAATCACTTGTGAATCCAGAGGCTCTCCTGAATCAGCCCAGACCCATGACGCCCTTCCCAATACGAATTCTAATCTTTACTCATGTCACTCATAGTCCCCACTAATTCGTGGTAACTTTTATTTGAATCTTGTGTTTTCTCTTATTTTCTAGCAATCCCAAACTTCTGGGAGCATCTAGTTTTCCTGTGCCAGATGCCTGCTCTCTCAAACATGCGCCCCAGCTCACTGCTATGTGCTCCCCTTGTACTAGATGTGTCCACTGCCACAGATACCCTGAGGATTGTGGTTGTCTTCCTCTGAGTTGCCTTTTCATTCCTCTCGCCCTAGGACTCTCTCTGGTTCTGAGCCTCTTGGCCTAATACAGGTATCACAGAAGTGCAGAAACTCTTCTGACTTGATCTAGAGTTTCCACAGAAAGTAGATGAGGAGAAGAGAATGGGGAGGGACAGGATTACTGAACAATTTCTACAGAGTCATTTTCCCAGCTAATGCTAGTTTTTCATGTGTAACAAAAAGGAACAAACCTTAAATTTATTCCTTACTGTTCCATTCACATAAATGACCTGAGGTCTCCATTTGAGTAATGCGCACCATGGAGGAACGTGTGCTTGCATGTGTACAACATGGGGCAAAAGTAGGTTTACAGTTGTGAGTACATGATGCACAGGGTTGATTCTTGTATTGTTATTGTAATTATTGTATTTTTCCATATGAACAACTATAGACCTACTTGTGCCTGCCTCTGAATATTTACTCTCACATTCTCTGTGGCCAAAGAGCTCATTACTTTCTCCAGCCTGGGTGCCTCACTGCTCTAGATTCCTGCTGATTCTTCTCCAAAAAGTCTGCAATACAAGTGTATAGATTCGTGATCTATTATTTTATTTGGTTCTTCATTGAGACTAAAGATAATAGCCTTTTGGACAAATGTATTTGTTGCCTATCCTCTCTGTAGCCCCTATTCACTTTTGTTTTTTAATGAATAATGCACATGTAGTCAGTGAGTGGGATACAGATGTGCTTCTGAATTCTCACATGGGAGGTAGAGGCAGTCATTTTGAAGAATGCATAGATTAGAGCCAGTGTCCCTCCCTTTAGAAGACTATATTCAGAACTGTTTTTTCCTAAAAATTGAATTTGTGAGCTACTTGCTTTATTCAGATATCTCTTGCAACTGTGTTTTATTCTTGTTAGTATAATTTAGACCATAATTAAATAGAAATTTACCTTTGATATAGTTACCAATGAGGTTTAAATTAAATTCCACATCTTTAGCAGTTGGATCAAAGACACAGATACTATCAACTAACTGTTTGTTAAAGTGCTGTGAACAAAGAACAAAAGTTATGGGATTACCAGCAAGTGGAATTAGAGTACCCAATTCACCAGTTTGTATAATTTCATTTATATAAATTTGAAAACAGGCAAAACCAACGTGTAGTATTAGAAGTCAGGCTTCTGGTCACCCTCGCTGTGTGTATGTGCGGGGGGGGGGGGGGCGTGTATGAGAAAGAGTACAAAGGAGGGCTTTTGAAGTGCCCCTAATGACCTGTTTCTTAATCTAGGTGGTTACAAATGTTCATTGTGTAAAAATTCTTGCATTTGTACACTTAAGATTTGTGCAATTATGATTTGCATGCCTAAACTTGTGTGGGTTATTTTTCAATAAAAAGAATACTTAAAAGAACTTACCAGTTTACATTTATCCCAAATTTCTAAATCCTGTGATGATTCCAACTCTGGATGAATAAACAAGATAACTGCTGTCAGGATGTCAGGTATTAGTTTTGCATTGGCTTCCAACTGCTGTAACTGGCTGGCTGTCAGAGATTTTGACTGTAGTACAGTGCGGTAATCAAAGAGCAACAGTGATACAAAGTCCTTGGAGGTAAGCTGCTTAAGGCTTTTCTGCAGCTCTTGTAGCATGATTCGGAAGAAGAGAACTCCTGCCTGCTGAACTTCTCCCGTATTTTCAATCTCTGGAATAATAGAATGATATCCCACATGGTTGTTCAGTACATATATTATATATTTCAGAGGATTCTCAGCATAATATAATAAACCTTTTTTTTTTTTTTAGAAAAAAGATATCTATGGTTTTAAAAAATCTTAGTTTTTCTAGTCATGAAATCAAAAGGCAGAAATGAAATTACCCCTGGTAAAACTCCCAGGAAGAGGCTTTGAGGAAAGGAAACTCGTGTTTTGACATTAGATCTCAGTTTGAATATCTACTCTCTCCCTTATTCTCTTCTCTCTGAACCTTCTCTTCCTTTTCTGTGAGAATGAGGTTGAGTTCTACTTCTCTAGTAAGCTGTGGACATTAAATGAGTTGATATAATCAGGCCAGAACGGAATGGAATTAAAAATACAAAGTGATGCAAAGCAAGGGAATAAATCTAAGAATACTATACCCAACAAGGCTGTCATTCAAAATTGAAGTGAAATCAGGAGCTTCACAGATAAAAAAGGGCTAAGGGAGTTTATTACCACCAAGCCAGCAATGCAAGAAATGCTAAAGGGACTTATGTAAAAAGAAGAAATAGAAAGGGAAGAAGGAACACAGGCATAAAGAATAAAAATGGTGACAAACAAGTACCTATCAATAATAGCCTTCAAAGTAAATGGATTAAATGCTCCAATCAAAACACATAGGGCAGCTGAATGGATAAGAAAACATGACCCATATATTTGCTGTCTACAAGAGACCCACCTCAGAATAAAGGACTCACATAGATGGATAGTGAAGGGATGAAAAAAAGTTTTTCAGGCAAATGGAAATGAAAGAAAAAAACAACCTGGGGTAACAATACTTATATATGACAAAATAGACCTCAAAGTGAAGGCCAGAACAAGTGATAACAAGGGCCACTTCATAATACTAAAGGCAGCAATTCAACAAGAGGATATCAAGTCTAGTAAACATATATGCACCCACTAAAGGAGTACCCAAATACATAAAAACACTTCTGGAAGGTATCAAAGGAGAGACTGACACCAATACAATCATAGTAGGGGACTTTAATATCCCATTGACACCACTGGATAAATCCTCTAAACAAAAAATCAGCAAAGAAACAGCAATCCTAAATGACTCACTAGATCAGATGGAATTAATTGACATCTTCAGAACATTGTACCCCAAAGCTATGGAATATACATTCTTCTCAAGTGCACACAGGAACTTTTCAAAGAATGACCACATATTGGGACACAGGTAAAGTCTCTTCAAATTCAAGAAGATAGAAATCATATCAAGCATCTTCTCAGATCACAATGGCATAAAATTAGAAATTAACTTCAAAAAAAAAAGGAAACAAAATAAAAACACTTGGAGGCTAAATAGCATGCTATTAAACAATGATTGGGTTATCATTACCAAAGAGATCAAAGAAGAAATAAAAAAGCATCCTGGTAACAAATGAAAATGAAAACACAACAATCCAAAACCTATGGGACACAATTGCTGAAACCGGTTTGGCTCAGCAGTAGAGCGTCGGTCTGCGGACTGAAAGGTCCCAGGTTTGATTCCGGTCAAGGGCATGTACATTGGTTGCGGGCACATCCCCGGTAGGGGTGTGCAAGAGGCGGCTGGTCGATGTTTCTCTCTCATCGACGTTTCTAGCTCTCTCTCCCTCTTCCTTCCTCTCTGAAAAAAATCAGTAAAATATATTAAAAAACAACAACAACAACAACAAAAAACCTATGGTACACAATGAAAGCAGTCCTGAGAGGGAACTTTATAGCTCTATAGGCCTACCTCAAAAAACAAGAAAAAAATGGTAGTAAATCATCTAATGCTATAATTCAAAAAATTAGAAAGAGAGCAACAAGAAAAGCCCAGAGTGAGCAGAAGGAAGGGAATAATAAAGATTAAAGTAGAAATAAATGACATAGAGACAAAAAAAACAACAACAAAAAACCTACAACAATACAAAAAAATCAGTGAATACAAGAGCTGATTCTTTGAAAGGATAAACAAGATTGATGAACCTTTAGCCAGGCTCACAAAGAAGCAAAGATAGAGAATTCAAATAAACAAAATCAGAAATGATAGAGGCAAAATAACAAAAGACTCTACAGAAATACAAAGGATTTGTTAAAAAAAAATATTATGAACGACTCTATTCCAACAAACTAGAAAACCTGGAGGAAATGGACACGTTCCTAGAAAAATACAACCTTCCAAAACTCAATAAGGAAGATTCTAAAATCTCAATAGGCCAATAACTATGGAATAAATTGAAACAGTCATCAAAAAGCTTCCAGCAAACAAAAGCCCAGGCCCAGACGGCTTCACAGGAGAGTTATACCAAACATTCAAGGGAGAACTAAAACCTACCCTCCTTAGACTATTCCAAAAAATTCAAGAGGAGGGAACGCTTCCAAACTCATTTTATGAAGCTAGCATCACCCTAATACCAAAAACAGATAAAGACAACAAAATGAAAGAGAATTAAAGGCCAATATCCCTCATGAACATAGATGCCAAAATCCTCAACAAAATTCTAGCAAATCAGACCCAGCAGTACATCAGAAAGATCATACGCCATGACCAAGCAGGATTTATACCAAGGATGCAAGGATGGTACAATATCTGCAAGTCAATAAATGTGATATATCACATAAACAAATTGAAAAACCACATAGTCATATCATAGTCAATTGACCACAGAAAAAGCATTTGACAAAATCCAACACTCTTTCTTGATAAAAACTCTCAGCAAGGTGGGAATAGAAGGATCATAACTCTACATCATAAAAGCCATATATGATAAACCCACAGCCAGCATCACACTCAATGGACAAAAACTAAAACCATTTCTCCTAAGAACGGGAACAAGACAGGGACGCCCTCTCTCACCACTCCTGTTCAACATAGTACTGGAAGTACTAGCCATTGCTATCAGACAAGAAGAAGAAATAAAAGGCATCCAAATTGGAAAAGAAGAAACAAAACTGTCCTTAGTTGCAGATGACATGATACTGTACATAGAAAACCCTAAAGACTCCATAAAAAAATTATTAGACTTAATAAATGAATTCAGCAAAGTAGCAGGATACAAAATTAATGCCAAGAAATCTATGGCATTACTATACACCAATAGTGAAGTTTCAGAAAGAGAGACTAAAAAAGCAATTCCATTTACCATTGTACCAAAAAAAAATTAAGATACGTAGGAATAAACTTAACTAAAGAGGTAAAAGAACCATGTGGATTCCTGCAACAGAGAGGAATTGACAGGAGTGCTCCAGCCATGAAGACAGAAGAGAATCAGTCCAGAGATGGAAGTCGCTGACAACACCTTGCCATACTAGCAGACAGGAGCTGTGTGTCACTGAAGGATGCCCAGGACCAAACCAGAGATGGTCGGAACTGCATCAATACCATTTGTCAAACAACCAGATCTGAAATACCATTGTTCACATGTACACATAAGGAACTGTTTGACATTGAAATAGGGATTAAAAAGAACTGTTAGCCCAGAAAGGAACTCACTACAGACTGATTCATTTGCCTCTCAGCATAACCTTTATGGCTTGTCTCAGTCCTTATAAGGGAATTCCTTGTATCACATGATCTAACACATCTAGGGGAAATAATGAACAACATAAATTGATGAACAGGAACAGACCTGGAGACAGAGAAGCAGCAATCAGACTGTCAGGCCTCAGAGGGAAGGTAGGGGAGGGTGGAGGCAAAGGGAAGAGATCAACCAAAGGACTTGGGTGCATGCATATAAGCCTAACCAGAGGTCATGGACAGCAGGGGGTGGGTATACATGGGGAGGGGTTTGGGATGGGAATGGGGAGGAGGGTGATGAGGACACTTATGTGACAACATAATCAATAAAGAAATTAAAAAAAAGTTTTAAGAGAAAAAAAACACCTCATGGACATGAACAACAATGTGGTGATTACAGGGAAGAGTGGAGGAGAGTACAGGGGATTAAATGGTGATGGATGGAGACTTGACTTGGGGTGGTGAACAAACACTATACAGATGATGTGTTGTAGAATTGTGCACCTGAAACCTGTATCATTTTACTAACTAATGCCACCTCAATAAATTCAATTAAAAAAAGAGGTAAAAGACCTATATGCAAAAAACTACAGGACACTGAGAAAAGAGACAGAGGAAGATATAAACATATGGAAGAACATACTGTGTTCATGGATTGGTAGAATCAAAATCATCAAAATGTCCATACTACCCAAAGCAATTTATAGATTCAATGCAATCCCATTAAAATGCCAATGGCATATTTCACAGACCTAGAACGAACTCTCCAAAAATTCATCAGGAATAAAAAAGACCCTGAATAGCTGCAGTAATCCTGAGAAAGAAGACTAAGTAGCTGGGATCTCAATACCAGATATCAAGCTGCATTACAAAGCTGTTCTCAAAACAGCCAAGTTCTGGCATAAGAACAGACATATAGATCAATGGAATAGAATAGAGAACCCAGAAATCTACCCAAACCACTATGCCCAATTAATATTCAACAAAGGAGGCATGAACATACAATGGAGTCAAGACAGCCTCTTCAATAAATGGTGTTGGGAAAATTGGACAGATAATATAAAAAAAAAATAGTCTAAGGAGGATAGGTTTTAGTTCTCCCTTGAATGTTTGGTATAACTCTCCTGTGAAGGTGTAAGTTGGTGGTAAGTTGGAACTAGACCACCAACTTACACCATACACAAAAATAAACTCAAAATGGATAAAGGATTTAAACATAAGATGGAAAACCATAAAAATACTGGAGGAATCCACAGGCAGCAAAATCTCAGGTATATGCTAAAGGAACTTCTTCACTGATATTGCTCTTAGGGCAATGGAAAACAAAGAGAAAATAAACAAATGGGATTACATCAAAATAAAAAGCTTCTGCACAGCAAAAGAAACCATCAACAAAACAACAAGAAAGCCCACTGCATAGGTGAACATATTTGCCAGTGTTATCTCTGATAAGGTTTAATCTCTAAAATTTACAAGGAACTCATACAACTCAACAAAAGGAAGATTAACAATCCAATTAAAAAATGGGCAAAGGATCTAAGTAGACACTTTTTGAAAGAAGACAGAAGGAATGCTAAGAGACATATGAAAACATGCTCAAAGTCACTAATTATCCGAGGTATGCAAATCAAAATGACAATGGGATACCATCTCACACCTGTCAGAATGGCTGTCATCAACAAGTCAACAAATGACAAGTACTGGCGAGGATATGGAGAAAAAGGAATCCTCGTGCACTGCTGTGGGAATGCAGACTGGTGTAGCCATTGTGGTAAACAGTATGGAGTTGCCTCAAAAAATTAAAAATGGAACTCCTATTTGATCCAGTAATCCCCCTTGCAGGAATATATCCCAAGAAATCAGAAACACCAATCAGAAAGGATATATGCATCCCTATGTTCATAGCAGTATAATTTACAATAGCTAAGATTTTGAAAAAGCCTAAGTGCCCATCAGCAGAAGAGTGGATTAGAAAACCGTGGTACATCTACACAATGGAATACTATGCTGTGTTAAAAAAGGAAGACCTCTTACCATCCACAACAGCATGGATGGAACTGGAGAGCATTATGCTAAGTGAAATAAGCCAGTCAGAGAAAGATAAATATCACATGATCTTACTCATTTGTGGAATATAATGAACAATATAAACTGATGAACAAAAACAGATCCAGAGACAATGAAGCAACAAACATACAATCAAACCTCAGAGGGAAGGCAGAGAAGGGGGGGGTGAGAGATCAACCAAAGGACTTGTATGCATGCATACTAGTATAAGCATAACCAATGGACACCGACAGGGGCAGTGGGGATATGTCCTGATTGGTAGGAGTGGCTTGGGCAGGGTTGAAGGGGGAAAAAGGAGACATGTAATACTTTGAACCATAAAGTCCACATTGAAATGATATTTGTAAGTCTGTTACCTTTGTTACCACATGATTAAAGAAATGAAGCATGAAAATAAAAAAAGGGTTGATGTATGTAAAAGTGTTTAGTCTTGGTCTTAAACATAGTGAACACTCACAAGACTTGAATTTTCTTCTTGCTTCTTTCTTCATATCCCACCCCACCCTATGTAATGGCTAGAAAACTGTTAGCTTAATTATATACGTGTTACTCTTCTCTTTCCATTCACTCTTTTCTAGGTAGTTAAAGGTTTCCAAGCTTCCTTCTTTCTCCCTTCTGCCCAAACTAGTTTTGTATCAAGAGTAGCCTAATGGATGTGGAATCCCAAGGATTGAGCTCCCGTCTTGTCTATGTTCCTCGCTTGCTACCGGACCTTTACTTTGATGAGCTTTAGCTTCTTTATCTGTAAAATTAGATGTTCTGATGATTTAATGCTATATAATATAATGGAAAAAGCATTCAAACTTGAATGTAAATCCAGCCTCCACCACTTGCTAACCATATGATTTGTGCAAGTTGTTTAGTTCCTTTAAACTTTACCTTTCTCATCTATAAAATGAGGCATCACCATTCACCTCATAGAATTATGGTCAGGACCAGTTGAAATAACATATTTCAAGTGCTTGGTACATGATGGGGCATTTAATAAGTGCTAGTTCTATATTGCCTTTAGGAGGCTTTCTAATTCTAAAACCATGTGATTCTAGCCAAGAAAATGCAATCTCTCACCCTTTACTCTAATTTATAGCTCATACTCATCAGTCCAAGACTGCATGAGGGGATTTCTTTCATGAGGAAAATCTGTATATTGCAACAACTCATTTTAGAAAAAATCCTTCATTGCATTGCCTGTGATTTACCAAAAGCTAATTAAACCCATAAATTTAGACGATCACCACATTCACAATACCTAAGACACGATTTTTCTCTTTTTCTCCAGATAATTCGTCCAGTATTTCAAAGCAGGCAGCTTGGGTCACCTTCACCATTTTCTGTAGATCTTTATATTCTCGATAAAACAACATCTTCCTCTTGCCAATGTTAATATCGAGAGCCCCCAGGGCCTCTCCTGTTCTCTCACGAAGTGGAATTACTATGTGGGTTTCTCCACAGAAAGAGGCCAAAAGAACTTCTGAACTGTCTATACACTTAAAAAGGAAATTCCTGGAATCAAAACCAAATAAGCATAAGGGTATCAGCAATCAGGAAAGTTCATAACATTCCACCCAAACATATTGAATCACTTTCTTTTGTGCCTACTACTCTTCACCCCACCAGCTCTTGTTACTATTTCATATGCCTAGACCACTTCATCTCTTGATGTCACAGAGCTCTCCTTCAGCACACTCACTCATCTCCTCTTAAGGAAGCCTTCCCTACCCATGTAATCTAAAGTAGTAGCACCTGAGTCATGCTCCATCCTGTTATTCTGCTTTATTGTCTTTACTGTACTTATACTTATCTGAATGGTATTCACTTTTTTGTTTGTTTACATGTTGTCTAGTAAGTATTGGAGGAATGCATGAAGGAACGATGAGTGTTAGATTCTCTAGAAGCAGCACCTGAGACAGGGAAGTGATTTATGAAGGGAATGCTCTCAGGAGAAGCCTGTGAGAGTCTAAGGAAAGGAGGAGAGGGAAGGGAGGAAATCTACATGAGAATATGATTACAGGTAAAGTCTAACCTCAGTCGGATCCCAAGGGGAGCTCTGGGAAGCAAACTGTCAAAGTCAGTTTGGGTGCAAGGAAGAGGTCTTTTGTCAGTGGTTGGCTCTACGTTGCTCTATGGGAGGGAATAGTGTTCACATAACTGGTAGGCACCTCCTGGTGAGAAGCTCCCATTTCTGAAGGGCACTCCTCCAGAGAAAGCTAACAGTGTGAGGCATTGGCAGCAGCACTTGCAGCAGCCGGCAAAAGGTACCCGGGGGATCTGGGCTGGGCATTAACAGCGTCAGTGAGAGACCTGAGGTTTCCACAGAAATGCAGTGGCATAGCGAGGTACAGACACATCTCTTTCTATCTCTTTTCCTCTTTCCCCATCTACACTGGGATGTCTTTTTTTTTGAGATTATTCGTAAAAATGTCGGTGTTTTGCACTGCTTCAAAAAGCACATTTACAGTTTATAGTATCAATCCTATAATGACAGGTAAGATTCTGTCTTTCTTTTGCTACTCCCACCACTGTGTGACTTTATAACCATAGTAATGATGCGTCATGCATCATTAAATGAGTCTGGGTATTACCAAGACTCCCATAAAACTCTTGAACACCACAAGGAATAATTATGTGGAAAAGAGTTTTTAACGTAATTAACATTCTGGTACTAAAAATTTAATTAAATAAGATACTTAAATATCAACTTAGCCTTTGGGCTCAAATAGTTTATTGGCTGCACTGACCCTCCTTAAGAAGCAGTCTGGCCGAAACTGGTTTGGCTCAGTGGATAGAGCGTTGGTCTGCGGACTGAAAGGTCCCGGGTTCGATTCCGGTCAAGGGCATGTACATTGGTTGCGGGCACATCCCCGGTGGGGGGTGTGCAGGAAGCAGCTGGTCGATGTTTCTCTCTCATCAATGTTTCTAGCTCTCTATCCCTCTCCCTTCCTCTCTGTGAAAAATCAATAAAATATATTTTAAAAAAGGAAGCAGCAGTCTGCCCCTCTGGCAATTGGAGTGTTCTCAGTAAAGATGTTTTGCATCTGTCCACAGTCTAATAGAGTTCCTGGATCCCACAGGTGAGAGGCAGTTGTAGTAATCTAGAACTGGGTACTTATTGAAAACAACATTCTTTGACTTCTGTCCTCTTTGCCCCACCTTGTCTTCTTTAAGTAAAATATACTTGTTCGCTGAAACCAGTTTGGCTCAGTGGACTGAGTCCACGTCAGTCTGTGGACTGAAAGGTCCCAGGTTTGATTTCAGTCAAGGGCATGTACATTGGTTGTGAGCACATCCCCAGTAGCGGGTGTGCAAGAGGCAGCTAGTCAATGTTTCTCTCTCATCGAAGTTTCTAGCTATCTATCCCTCTCCCTTCTTCTCTGTAAAAAATCAATAATATATATATATATATATATATATATATATATATATATATATATATATGCTTGTTCACAAGTTGGCTAATATTAAGATGAGGAATTTTGATAAATGGTGTGGATGTATTTGTCATAATCATGGTGGGTTTTGTTTAATTCCTTATTTAAAGAAATCAAATCAAAAGACTGTCATGCTTTAAAAACATGCAATTTTAATATAAAACACCATTGAAATTTGTTTTAAAAAGGACTTGAGGGGGAAAGGAGTTAATATGACCCATGCAGTCAGGAAACTGTCTCTAAAATCCAATCATAATGAGAGTCATTGTATACTAATAAGAGGCAAAAGCTGTGTCTTCAGATCTATCACACCCGGCTACATACTCTGGCAAGCAAACAAAAACAGACACGAAGATGCCTCTCATACCTGAAGACGCATGACTTCCTGAAGATGATAGGGGGATTTTTGTGGATTTCTGTAAGACCTTGGGGCCCTGTTACCATCATGTTGCGTAAAACATAGTCTGAACCCTTGAAAGGAAGAAGATACTTCATTATGGAGAAGGACAATTAGACTTCATATTTTCATTAAAGCTTTTGGGGACAGATAAGTAGGAAAAATTTAGAAAAGTTTAGATGATTTCTAGTTTTAAGTACAGTGACATTTTACTTACTCAGTACCATTAAGGAATGAGGTGTTCCACAAGAGAAAAATGTCAAAATATGAGACTTATTTAAATTCAAAAGCATATTTTTAAAATAATTGTGATAAAATGCTGTGTTTATATTATTTTTCCGAAAAGTGCACTGTAGAAAAGCCCAGGCGCCTTTCAGGATATGTCAAAATGAGTTTTTTTTCCCTTGGGTTTTCTGAATTGGAATAGAAAGGAAAGATTATTTTCAAGCTACTAAGCACTTAGCTTTGCCTTGTAGAAAACCCCATCTTTAGCTGGAAGTACAAAGTCAAGGTACAGAGGGAAGCAACATGAGAACTGGGGAGAGAAAGAACATGAGCGAGCCATGATGGCATTGAATCCCTGGAACTGATCATCCTAGAAGCCAACCTGATGTCTGTCCTTTCTTCATTTCTGTCACATGAGTCAACCAATCCCCCTTTTTGCCTAAGGCAGTATGAGATGGATTCCTGCCACTCAACTGTGGACAGTTTGAGTTTGTGTCATGGCAACTATGTCCCCAGTTAGCCTAATAGCTAACTAATTATACTAGTTTTAAAATATCAGCAAGACAGTAACATCTAGAAACTCTTGTTACCCTGGGAAGGTCTAACCCTGCCCAGCCTGGCCTACCTGTTCGGGGCTCGGCTCAATGAAGTATGTAGTGATGGAGTCAATGTTGGGTACGATGTTGTAGAGCCAGCTAATGCCAGTGATCACAGCGTGCAGGATGTGCTCCCGGCTGTGCACGTAGTGATAGGCAGTGCTAAAGACATTGGCCACACCCTGAAGAGACAGAATAGTTTAATTGCCTTTTCTTTTTAAAATAGAAAAATAATTAGAAATGTATCCATTGGATTATCTTTTTCACTAATGATAATCTGTTTCCTCCAAATTACTTCTCAAAAGGTAGTAGTCCTCTAGCTTCTACTGTGAAAAAAACCCGGATCATTAAGAAATCAGAGGTATAAAAAGAAATCTTCCGTAAGATCCAAGTAACTTATATGTTTCCTGATAATCATCCAGTGAAATTTGTGATATGTGCAATCAGAAAATAGCATCAGAAGAACAAAATAAAATTTGAAATGAGAAAAAAATGTTTAAAAGCTAAGATGAATGCTATCCTTGAGCAGATGGATTGGAGTGCCCTGATCTGATACAATATTAATGTCTGTATCTTTACATGGCTACTGTCATCAGGTCAGCAGAATAGGATGTTCTGAGTTCGAAAGCTTGCAACATGCACAATCTTCTTATGGGCACAAAATGATACTGTTCCATAGAGAAGCAATGGGAAGTCCTTAATACTTATCTGTGGTCTTGTTTTCAAGAAACTCTAGGAACCACAAAGTCTTCAAAAATATATGTAGCCCAGATGGTGTGGCTCAGTGGTTGAGCATCAACCCATGAACTAGGAGGTCACGGATGATTCCCAGTCAGGGCACATGCTTGGGTTTCAGGCTGGAGTCTCTCTCATCATTGATATTTCTTTCTCTCTCTCCCTTTCCCTTTCTCTTTCTGAAATAAATAAAAACATATCAAAAAATATATATGCCTGGCTGGCATAGTTCAATGGTTGAGCGTTGACCTATGAACCAAGAGGTCACAGTTTGATTCCCAGTCAGGGCACATGCCTGGGTTATGGGCTCAATCTCTAGTGTGAGGCATGCAGGAGGCAGCTAATCAATTATTCTCTCCTATCATAGATGTTTCTATCTTTCCCTCCCTCCTCCTCCTCTCTGAAATAGATAAAAATAGGTTTAAATATGTATATATATACTTTATTTTAGATCCCAAGGCACCTAAGATAATAATACAGAAGGCTTTACCTCCAAGGACTAGAAAATCTATTTATAATTGATTTTGACATGTTCTCTAACAAGGCTGTGTATTATTTCACCTACTGGTAACTCCATACTCCTCCATTTTGCTTCTGAATATCTTCATATCATTATGTCAGATGAGAATGAATCTTATTATTTAAAAGATGTCCAGAGAAAAAAGATTCTACCACTTTCCAGTTATTCAGTAAGTGAGAAGAGAAATTTTAAAATAACGGTAAATAAATATGAAGAGCCAGAGGCTTACAGGGAAACAAATGATAAGGGCAGAGCAAGTTCCTGATTGCCACTATAAAGGTTTTACAGTGTGCCCATTGCTTCCATAAAGGCTTTCAATCTTCCTCCATTGCAATTTCCATTCATAAAATTAAATTTAAATGTTTGTAGAAATGATCCAGTTATTGTATAGTTTTAAAAGTGCCTAAAACTTAAGCATTTTTCTTCATTCTTTATCCTCAAACATTATAACACTGATATCAGGAGCTATGGGGTCACATATCATATTAGGTACCATTTGTTGAAGAGCAAAGGATTTCTAGGTACCTCTACTAATAAAAAAAATAAATCTTCTTTCTAAAAGTTCAGTCTGACTATGTGGGTCTTAGTGGCCTAATAGTTGGATTTTGGTTCTGTGTCTATGATCAATGCAAGGGACACATTAATAATCTTCCCAGAGATTCTGAGGCATAGTTGTGCAACTGAAGCTGACAGTTCTTCCATGTGTAATGAAGAACCTCTCAAAATACTGACACATACACACGGGGAACTGGAACCATATGACAACCCACTCTACATATCTAATATATAGCTCTACCCACATCGAGTTTCAGGTTTTGCTTTTTCTTTTTTATGTATAAAAGGAGAAGCCATCCTACCATTGCTAAGGACGAATTCTTCTCTGACTTACCTGATAGAATTTGATCTCATGAGGCAAGAAGATGTTTATTTTCTGGGGATCTCTTAGTGTGTCAACAGCCAGGACCCCAAAGATCCTCATATATGCATTCTGAAGAGGCAGAGCCAGGAATGATCCATTTTGATCATTCTCCTTGCGGGAATTGTTCCAGAAGAAAATGTTCCCATGGTGCTGAACTTGAGGGACATGTACTGGCTTCCCTTTATCTATTACTGTAAAGCTGAGAAATAGGAATGTGAGGATGGAAGAAAGGCACAGGAGGAGCTTTAGGTTAAACCATGTAAGAAACTATCGATCAACTCTCCATTCATAATCATTGGCATTACATGTCAGAGAAGTGGACTCATAAAATTACCAGTCTGGAGAGTCTGACTTGAAAGAAAGATTAGATCGTAACAGAGAAAACATACATAACGAGGACACAGGAGACATACTTTAAAGGTAAGGCAGAAATAATTGGGCTGATATTGTAAAGCAGAATCCCTACATGGCCAATCAATGCCTACGGTAAACTCTAGAAACAATCAAGTGAAATCACCTGAGACTGGAAACGAATCATCTCGACTTTAGAAGCTTTGGTGACCTGAGGCATTTCTCTCTAGGATTTCAATGCTAACTTATTTCAGAAAGGAAATTATTATTTTTTTTTTTTTAAAGAAGGGTGAAATCACTTGGCTCACGTGGCTCAGCAGATGAGCATCAACCCAGGAACCAAGAGGTCCCTGTTTGGATTCTTGGTCAGGGCACATGCCTGAGATGTGGGCTCGATCCCCAGTAGGGGGCATGCAGGAGGCAGCCGATGGATAACGATGTTCCTCTCTCGTCGATGTTTCTCTCTCTATATATATATACATCTCCTTTCCTCTCTCTAAAAATCAAAACATATTTTTTTAAAAGGAAGGTAAAATCAACTTTTCCAAGAAATTCTTACCTGATTCCCTTCATGTCCCTGTAGAGCACTTTGTTCAGTACAAATGGAGCATCATCTAAAGTACAAGCTACATTCCTTAGCAGAACAGCCCCTCTGTTAGGCAATAGTCGGTTTTCTTCTAAGAGGGAGATGTGAGCACTGATCTTCTTATTTCCATGGACTTGAGCATCCTATGACAAAATGTTGCTGATCATGTATTTGCCAATAGCTATTCTCTTAATCACATCTTCCTTCATTAGCCAGTTTGCGCCTGTGACCCAATAATTTCACTTTCATGAATAAATAATGAAGATATTACTATTTGTGAGCAACGAAGAAAAGTGTACACTGGCTCCATAGCTGTCCCTCGAACCTGAGTTTTAGTGAGTGTAATGGATTGACTTTATGCCAATTAGACTGGTTTACTAAAAATAAATTAAATCTCAAAGCCCATTCAAATGTAGAGGTTTAAAACTTGGATCCCACCTGGCTGGCATGACTCAGTGGTTGAGTATTGACATATGAGTCAGGGCACAATGCTGGGGTTGCAGGCTCTATCCTCACTGTGGGGTATGCAGAGGGCAGCCGATCAATGATTTTCTCTCTCATTGCTTTTCTCCCTCTCTCTTCCTCCTTCTCTCTGAAGTAAAAAAATAAAATAAAATTTTATATATATATATATATATATATATATATATATATATTTCTTTTTTTTTCTTTTTTTTCTTCCCCCTTCCCCCCTCTACTTGGATCCCTTTGGCCCTGGCCAGGTAGCTCAGGCAAGAATGTCAAACTCATGGTCTGTGGGCTGCAAGCGAATTTGACATGCTTGGGTTAGAGCGTTGTCCTGATATGCCAAGGTTGTGGGTTCAACCCCTGGTCAGTGCACATGCAAGAATCAGCCAGTGAATAAATAAGTGGAACAACAAAAAAGTTTTCTTTCTCTCTCCCTTCCTCTCTCTCTCTCAAATCAATATACATATTTGAAAAAACTTATATCCCTTTGAGCTATAGTCAGATTGTTTGAGCTTCAGTTAATTTTAGAGAGCTGCGACAAGAAATGGCTTCATTTTACTCATATTTCTTAACCTTAATCTACTATTATGTGAATGTGGAAAAATGTTCTGAAGTAATTATTAACAAAGATTGGCTATGACATTTGATTTATGTCATTTTAGGAAATGATTTTTTGGGGGGCCTCAGATTGAAGACTTTATGCAATTACTATTTCTATTGAAATAACTGAAAATTCTCTATATCTAAAATTTGTTATGTTACCAAGAATATGATGTGTTAATACATATACTGAACACATCCATAAGTTGGGGGACATGAGAGATACTTTCCTTGATATTTGTCTCATCTTTCTATATATTTAGGTTTGCTTTTCATGCCTTTTTTTTCTGCCTTTATTTCTCCTTTTCTACATAAAAATCTATAAAGTAACAAAAATATAGTGAGGTTTCTCTTGTGATGCTATAGATCTTTGAAGCAAGTTGGAGTAATAGCTCTTTTTTTTAAATTGGTCTCCTGTTCCTAGTCACACCATTTCAAACTACATTAGAAACTTCAGCCATTCAGGACATGATTCCAATAATCAAGTGTTGCTATTTAGCTGAGTCAAATGACAAAGTTCCCTGGATCAAAGGAATCTGTGATATATGTAGAAGATAGCCATATTATTATTTCTATTTGGGAGAAGCTGGAAGTTTTGAGGTGGCAAAGCTGTGGACGTGGTCCATGATGGTCATGTGTTTTAAGTGACATGATTTTGTAATAGTCTCAGCTTGTTTCTAGGCAGTGTTATGAAAACTAGAGGTTTGGTGCCTGAAATTCATGCACGGTGGTGGTGTTCCTCAGCCCAGCCTGCACCCTCTCCAATCTGGGATCCCTCGAGGGGTGTCTGTCTGCTGGTTTAGGCCCACTCCTGCAGACCCCTGTGGGATTGGGCCTAAATGGGCAGTTGGACATTCCTCTCACAATCTGGGACTGCTGGCTCCTAACTGCTCACCTGCCTGCCTGATTGCCCCTAACCACTCCCCTGCCAGCCTGATCACCCCCAACTGTCCTCTTCTGCCTGCCATTTTGTGGCGGCCATCTTGTGATGATGTGAGGGTGTCGTATGAGGGCACGAGGACTACCTAGGTTTTTATTTTAGTATAGATTGTGTGGTGTTGGATTCCACTTTATAATAACTTTATGTTTTAAATAGCTCTTTTTTGAACTGATCCTCAAAACATCATGCGAGGGAGATATAGTATGATCTCCTTCCAATCTCCCTGTTGGTATTTTTTTTTTTTTATATCAGTCTATTTTCTGTTCTAGGTTTTTTTGAGTCCCAGCACAAATGAAATTAGAAATCCTAAGACATAATTCTGTCTTTTGTATGTTTCTTCTCTGAATCTGCCTTGCCAACCTGCAGTCATTCCAATTGCATCTTCCCTAGGCTTTAGATCATTGTAATGTATTCAAAAGAGAGAGAGGAAAAAAAAAAATCTATCGCAATACCCAGGAAATTTTAAGAGAATTTAGTGTGCTCCTACTTTACATCCATTGAATATCACCTACTGTGAGGAAGTTTTTCTTTGTATGTGTCATTTTAGAAAACATACCTGTGTGAGGGCCCTAAAGGTCGCAGTGTACACGGGCTCCAAAGATACTCCACTTATTTCTGCAGCATGTTGGATATGGTGCAGCCACTTCCGTCTCGCACTGTTCCTCAGAACCTCAAAATGGCTTCTTTCTAAGCTGGTCATCAGAAACTCCACAAGGCTTTCCAGAACCTGATCTTCATTGCCCCTGAGTTCAGATACAACCAATTCTATGTATTTCTGAAACTGTTTTGAAGACAACCTCACTTCCTGACCAGGGTGTGGCTTTGGAAATTCGATGTGTAATTTAGCTGAAAGATATAAACACAAAACCAAGGACTAACCAAAAGCTCATTTACCTGTGGAAGAAATTTTCATTCTCCTCTTACAGCAAACTGAAGTCTCTTGACAACTGTCACCCCTCCCCCCAATGGAAAAGCAGGTATATTAAAGGCAAGCCAACACAACATGTTACAGTGAATTCCTATGATAAACTCAAGATGAGCTCTATGTCATCTTTCCTGTTTTTGTTTTATTTATTTAATTCTACCACCTAGTCAGGCGAATTCCAGGGTCAACTTTCATTCCACCCTACATTTTACCATCCATTTCCAATAGACTACTTAACTCTCTCCTGTTAGTCATTGACAATGTATCTTCCTCACCATTCCTGCTTCCATAATACTAAACCAGTATTAATCACTTTACAAGTGGATTATCAATGGTAAGGATCAATACATATTTATGAAGTTAAATTAAAACACAACTTGAATTATGCAATTTATTGGTTCAAGGTATATTTGGATCCAGTCCATTTTCTAAGAATATTTTCCCATAATACCGTATAGGAATTATTTATTTAAATATCCCCATTCTATTCATGATCCTCGATTTGCCTAGCACACTTCTGCACCCACATCTATCTTTTGTGTTTTGTTTTTTTTAGCATACAATCACAATCTACCACCTAACCTAAACATTGCCAATAACTTACATCTTCTTTTATGCCCTTGCCATTGTTTCACTCCCTGCCTATCCACATCACTGCACCAGTATTCTGAGATTTTGCTTTCACTTTATCTTTTCCTTCCTTTTCTTTTCGCAATAGTGTTATTGAGTTAAATGCCCTACTTAAATAGCAACGAACACTGAATGGCCAGATTACTATGATCTCTGAACACATAATAATCTGGCCACTCAGTGTATATCCTATATAATAAAAGGCTAATATGCAAATTGTCCCCTTGACCAGGAGTTCAACTAGCAGGCAGGCTGGCCAACCACCCATGTCTCCTTCCCCTGGCCAGGCTGGCCGGACCCATTCATGAATTCATGCACTGGGCCTCTAATATATATACACACACTGAGTGGCCAGATTATTATGCGTTGAGAGATCATAATAATCTGGCCACTCAGTGTATATAATAAAGCAAATTTTATCATTTAAGAATACATCCAACAAATATCAATAGCTATTCCATGGGAAGTAATGGAAGAAGATAAATTTTTTATCTACAGTGTAGACAGGTCACATGTTCTATAGACTTTTATATATTATATTTCTGCTCAAAAGATTAGGTTATATTAGATGGGAATAAAAATGGAAAATTACAGTGTAAAAATTTCAGGTTGCCCTTTTCATATAGAAAACTTTCATTTTGAGGACACCAGCAGAAACATTTCTAGGAATTTCTAATTCTGTAACATTATCCTATTTAAACCCCAATTTTTAATCTTGGACACAGAAATGCATAAGAAGGGTAGAGAGAAAACAATAAACAAACAAAAAAGATCTGTCTAAAGGTTTTCCAATCAGTTATTAGCTAATGTTTGAATTTAATTTTTTTTCCTTTTTTAAGACACAAAATCTGCCTTTCAGCTTCCATATGAACATCAGTTCAGCAGTTATCTCCATAGGCCTGGTGGCTACCAAGATGTGTTTTTGTATGAGTCTACCCTTGGAGAGAATAATTTGTTCTTCCTGCTTACAGACATTTTCTTCTGGCAGCAGATTCTGCCTCCTCATTACTTTCTTCATTTTTATTTGCTGGGCTTAACCCATTTCATTTTATGCTTTCTACCTATCCCTACTGCTGTCCTTCAATCATATATATTGGAACATCCTTATAACATTATCTATCTTCAGGTTCCTTAAATTCCAGAATTCATTGTGTCTAACTGCTTCATTTTACGAATGGATCTACAGAAATTCAATAATTTGCCCTTGCTCACATGACCATTTAGTGAAAGATCCAGTATTGGAACCTAGCACTCCTGACCCTGTGTAATGTTCTTTCCTCTATAGAACATGGCTCTGTGTTATGAAATTTCCCCATATTATAAAACCACCTCATTGCACCTTTTTAAAACTTTATTAAGTAAATCTTTTTTGGATGCAGTTTAAGAAAGTAGTGTCGTGTAATGTAAAGTTTGCAAAAGACATAGTTAATTAAAAACACATGACAATGGATAAACCTAGGGCAGAATAATGTTAATCCTAATCATTCCTTCTGCTGTGCACTGTATACTTTAAGAGTTAGAAATCTGGTATGCCAAAGTCACTAGACAGACCCTTAAGCCCAGGGAAGACTATAACCATTTCTACTAGGATCTAATCAAATGAAGGGTGGAAGTATACTAAAATAAGAATTTTAGTAGCTTTTGATTGGGAAGAATTTATCAGAAGAGAAAAATATAATATAGGAGAGGAAAGTCATTTAGAAGAATAAGTTGAGTTTGTAAATTCAGGAGAAACTTGCAAGCCAGCCAAATTTGTGAAGCAAATCAGACCTTGTCAAGGCAGAGAGATAAGACAAGAAGAGAAAATAAGCAGAACTGTGGAATGGTTTGGATTCTTTTAACCCCAAGACTGAGTGTACCAGAAGGAATCTAACCATTAGAGCTAAGGTCTTGGGCAAAAGACTCTACAGCATATTCCACTCCTGATTGCTCTGACACTTCTTACATTCTCACCAGCAAGGCACAAATGTTCCAATCTTCCACATCCTTTCCAACAATTGTTATTTCCAATTAAAATTTAATTATTTCCACTTTAAATGCCATACTATGCAAGAAACAAAAGCAAAAATAACTGAGACAACATCAAACTAAAAAGTTTCTGTACAGCAAAAGAAACAATAAAATGAAAAGACAACCTATAGAATAGGAGAAAATACTTTTAAATCATATCTAATAAAGGGTTAATATAAAAAAAATAAGGAATTTATACAACTCAATAGCAAAAAATAATATGATTAAATATGGGCCAAAGAACAAAATAGACATTTTTCCAAAGACATGAAAATGACCAAATGGTGATAAAAAGGTATTCCATATTACTAATAATCAGGAAAATGCAAATTAAAACCACAATGAGAAATCACCTCACATATGTTCAAACAGCCATCATATAAAAGATAAGTTTTGGTAAAGTTGTGGAGGAAAGGAAACCCTTTTGCACTGTTGATGATAATGTAAATTGGTATAGTCACTGTGGAAAACAGATGGAAGTACCTAAAAAAACTAGAAATATGATCCAGTAATTCCACTTCCAGGTATATATCCAATATCACTATCTCAAATAAATATCTGTACTTCCATGTTAACTACATAATTATTCACAATAGTCAAGACATGGAAACAGATGAATGGATAAAGAAAATGTGGTATGTACAATGAAATATTATTCAGCCATGTTACTATTTGCAACAACGTGGATGGATTGTGAAGGCATTATATTAAGTGAAATAAGTCAGACAGAGAAAGACAAATACCGTACGATCTCACTTATATGTGAAATTGAAAAAAGGCAAACTCATAAAAACAGACTGTATAATGGTGGTTGTCAGGAGCTGGGGGTAGGGAAAATGGAGAGATGTTGGTCAAAGGGTACAAAATCTTATATAATAAAAGGCTAATATGCAAATTGTCTCCTCGGGAGTTTGACCCACTGGGAGTTTGACCACTTGCTGTGATGTGTGCCAGGGGGTGGCACGAAAAATCAGTCCAAATAATTTAAAATTATTTCCATTTTAAATGCTATTTAAGTATTTAAATGTGCCAGGGGGTGGCACAGAACAAAGGAAGGCCCTGGCCAGCAGCTGGGTATCTAATATGCAGCATAGTGACTATAGTTAAAATACTGTGTTAAAACACTTGAAAGTTTCATTCTCACAACGAAAAAGATAGTAATTATGGGAGGTGATGGAGGTGTTAACTAATACTACTATGGGAATAATTTCACAATATATAAGTGTATCAAGCCAACATGTTGTACATCTTAAATTTACACAGTATTGTAAGTCAGTTATATCATAATAAAGCTGAGCAATTTGTCGCCATACTAGCAAGTGTGAAGGTGGTATCTCATGGTTTTAGAACAACCAGTGTTTAACTGTATATATGTCATACTACCAGGAAACTGGAAGCCAAGTTGTTAACTTAAATAAGAAAATTATTATACTTTTACCTGTCTTCATAGCTTCTTTTTCCATTCCCTCCTTGTATGTATACAAGAGTTCATCAACTTCATTCAAATCTAAGAAGCCTGAGCCATCACTGTCCCATAACTGAAAGAGGGCATCTAGGAGAAGTCCCCGTCGAATTTGGAAAGAGTTTTGTATAGCCTAGGATACAAGCAAGATAACAAAGCACAGAAGACTTGCTGTTTGTTCTACTAGCTGGCATCCTATGTTTATTCCAAAAAAAAGTGCAGCATTTTTTTATAAAAAACGGCTTTACTTTGGGACTCAGCATGATATTAGTGGGAAAGTGAATCATTTAATTTCAATCCTCTAAGTACCATTTCTCTGTTTCTGCATTGGATTAAAACACATTAATTTAGAAAGAAGACTACACTCCTTAAGAATCTTTAATGCATTTCTTTCCACTCCTTCACTGCTTGTTCAGGAATACGATGAACACATGGGGTGCTCTTCCTGGCTTCTCGTTGGGAATTGTTTTGTAGGGAAGGGGGATGAATGGCAGTGTTCAAACAATAAAAAGTTACTGTTAAAATTAAAAAAATATATATTTAACATTAACCTAACGGCATTAATTACCTTTTATACTTTTTACTAGATTAATTATATCAATTCATCAGTAATTTAATTAATATCTAGATATATTTAATTGCTGAAACAAAGTGAATATATACCTTTTGGTTAAATGGGGGAACTGCTGTTGAGGAGGCAAAAGGGATATCACCTTTAGAATTAAGTTGAGAAGATTCATAAGGCTGCTGAGATTACTGAATATGCCTGGTAAATCTAATTTACATATTTCATATATGAGCACATAAATTGTTTATATCAGCTAATGTGTGTGCATTTACCTACACCTAAATAATAAGTTCTTACAAAATATGTACTACCTGATGCAATGCACATGATATATTCAAGCCGTAATTGAACCCTATGTATGTGCATTTGTAAATGAACTCCTACAGATACACACACATGAGATATCTTTATTCATACACATATTTGCTCCATAGAATCTGCTATTCAAACTTCAGTGATTAAAAAAAAAAAAGCTGTCCAGTAAACCATCTCCTGCCATCATCAATCATGATATTATTAGGGGAATGAGTTCTCTAGAGTATGAACTCATTTTATTTGGCAATAAAATAAAATATTCAGTGGCCACGCTCATTGAAATAGTGATACGTTTAGTTGTAAATTTTAAAAGAAGAGCCACACTAGAAATTACTGAGGTTGACAAATTTAATAATAGTGACCTCACTTGTTTCAATGATAAACAATATTACTCACCTCTTCCAAGTCACTAATTTTCTCTTCTTTTGTTTCAGCATAGCCCCACTTGAAAAAAGAGGTGAGGGTCTCACTGGTACTCAAAGGGACATCTTCACCAACAAATGTCTCCAGGAGTTGCACAAACTGGAGCAGATTAAGGGAAACTCCATTGAAGGCACTCCTTCCTTTCACTTTGTAAGACTGAATATTCCTGATAATTGAATGTAGGTCTATAAAGCAGGAAACATACAGTAAAACGGACCATTTTCTCAAAGATTAAAAAATACACGAGTATTTATTATAATGGACAGTAGCTACTGTTTTCCTGTCAGAAAACCAAGCCTCCTTCATGAGTTCAGCATCATTTCTTTTTTATTTGACAAAACATCTCTTACCCATTATCTGTTTAGGTAAGTCAAGTAGTACTTAACCTCCCCCATCCATGCCCCAAAGATTGCCATGTGACATAGGTCTGGCCAATGATCTATTTATAACAGAAATGTAATACACTATAGACCAATGAGAATTTGAACCCAGAACTTTTGGGGAAACAATTGGGGAAGAACCCCTCCTTTTGTACTCTTGATTCCTGAACTGATAGGCTATAGGCTTAGTAATACCCTCATGGGCATCTTTGTCACAGTATGGAAAAAACAACCTAAAACTGAAAGTGGCACACAGAGAACAGGGCTGAGAGGCAAAAAGACAGTGCCCTGCTGCTGTTGTTGGGGCCTTGGATTTAATTATGCCTGAAGCCAGCTGCAACCTGGACTTGCCAGTTAAATAAGTCTGTAAATACCACCATTACAACCCCTTCCCCAATGAGTCTTTACTATATTTATCATGAAGCTCAATGTTCTAACATGAGGCATGTTTCATAAAATTCAACCCTGTGACTTACGTTTGATTTATTCATTGAGTTAATCATTCCTGCCCTTGTGATTTCTATAAGAGATTTGACATAGCTTAAAAATACTCATGCAGTTTATTTTCCAAATAGTAGAGCAAAATGGAAATATAGAAGACAAGGAGAAGAACATGAACTAGCAGGCTATAAGAGCTTGACTGATGCTATTCATTTTCACCAAAATATTTTGAGGATAAGAAGTTTATTACTTGACCCAGACTTAAAATTTTTAAAATTGCAGATAGGAATAAAATAATCTTTCAGCTTCTAGTGGCTGTCTTAAGTTCCCATAGTTGTTGTTTTCATGAATACAGACAATAGGTTGGTGAAGGTCTAGGGTGTGGTGGGGAGAAAAGGGGGCATCTGTAATGCTGTCAACAATAAAGATAAAAAAAAGAAAGAAAATAATGCTGATCTAATTAAAAGTAAAAGTGATAAAATAGCATAAAATATTAGTACTTGTAGGAACACTCACTGTTAAGTAAAAGCTACTCTTTGCTCTCTCTGTTGAGTAGATCTTCCCTTATACGTAGGTCTTCAAAAACAATCTATAGTCTCACCTGTTTCACATGTTTGGATATGAAACTAACAGGGAGAGTAATAGCTGAAATTATTTCTATTGAGTAGTAATATCTAATATCTTATTCCTTTTGTATACCTGAATCATAGCTTAAAAACAGCTGTTGGGGCATTTAATTATTTTAAAATCTGTATACTAATGGATATGTTTTTAAGCAAAGGAACATTCATCAATAGCACATGCTTACTACCACTAAAACATTCATCTTATAAATATTTATTTTTAAAAATATGTATTTTTATTGGTTTCAGAAAAGAAGGAAGGAGAGAGAGAAACATCAATGATGAGAGAGAATCATTGATCCTATATGCCCCACACTGAGGAACAACCCCGTAACCCAGAATATGCCCTGATCAGGAACGAACTGTGACCTCCTGTTCATAGGTCGACACTCAACCACTGAGCAACACCAGCCGGGCTATCTTGTACATGTTTAGATCCATCAGCTCAGGGACAAAATAATACAAGGTTCACTCTGGTATTGTGTCTTGTCTAAGTCCAGTCTTTGTCATGGGGTACCACAATAAGTTAAATTCATCAGTTAGACTGGGATCTATTCTTTCTAATTTTGTTGTAAATATGTACCTGTGAATCTGTAGTTATCATAGATTAAGTTTGCCTGTTCCTCATCTTCGAATTTTACATACGTCTTCAAGTCACAAGTCAAAAGTTCACCTATAAAATACACATTCCACATAACATAGGCAATTTAACTTCACTGTCACAATGTTTTTGTTCTACAGTATAAATGAAAGAAGGATTGAGTGAGTTACCTGGCCATGACTTTCCTTCTATTTTTTGGGACTTGGGTTCACAGGCTTTGTCTTTTTTAACTTTCTTCTTTGCAGTTTCTAAAAGGTATAAAAGAAAATGCCTATGAGTTGGACATTACATATTCTTAAGTTAATGAATAAGAGAAATGCCTTGTATATAGACCACCAAAAACTTTCTTTCAGGTACTTTCCCATATATGGTGTGTCTTAATCAACCACATGATATAACTTAATAACTTCAGTTGTTGAGAGCAGCTCTTTGACAAAAGCTATTTGTTGTACCCCAATTTGGCCACACAAAATGAGGCCTATATTTCCTAGCCTCCCTGATTATCTTACCTAATAAAAGAGAAACATGTAAATTAACCATCACTCCACTATGCCCACAGCCAATCAGAGGGAGTATGCAAATAAACCCAACAAATATGGAGACTAATTTGCATATACAGGTACTAAGTGTAGTGAAGCTTGCTATGAAGGGAAAGGGGGGGTTGTAGGGAGCTACTGGAGTGGTGCCCCAGACAGAAGCGAGAACTTGCCAGCTCCAGGCGCCCTGGGAGTGAGAAGGTGCCTGCTCCGGGGCAGCCAGGGAGCAAGGACTTGCCGGTTCCCAGGTGGCTGGGAGTGAAGCCAGGGGAATGAAGGCCTTTTCTTGCATGAATATCGTGCAATGGGCCTCTAGTATTCTTATATACTGACCAATGATCCCTGCAGGGAAATGATGTGATACTTATCTATTTTCCTTTCTCCTCACCTGCTGGTCAGAATGTAGACATGGCAGTGAACCATCTTGGTCCATGTGGTTGGAGGAGATACCAGATAGAAGGAGCTGAGCCACTGCTGATTTCATGGGACTGAGCTTTCATAGAACTTTTGACTTTTATATGAGAAAGAAAGACACTCCTTTCTTATTTAGAAACTTATTTGTTTTATTTTTCAGACACTGTCATTTTGGAACACTGTTACACATAGCCAAAATTAAGACCTCACTAACATAACATCTGGTTGAATAGTAGCCTCACTACTCTTTTAATGCTACATCCCTATGTAAGGAGAGCCAGAAATTAGTAACTCTGTTTTATGGAGAAATAAACATAATGCTAAAAAAATTTCAAATCAGTTGATGATAGTGTAGAATCTAAAACACAGGTTACCTATTTTCTACAAGTTTTCTTTGGGATGTAGAATTAAAGATCAGAATTTAAAAAATATATATATGCCTAACTGAGATCTTCAGTGGTATTAAGGTTGGCTCTTTAAAAGATTAGAATTTTTTATAGGAAAAGGTCATAAATTGGCAATTCAGAGGAAAAAAGTCTTCTGCAGAATAAAATTTGAATTATAGGGTGCTCTCTGTCTTAAATACAGCTTTCAGAAACTTTTCTAGAAATATATATATATACACACACTAATAAAAGATAAATATGCTAATTAACCATACTGCGATGCCCACCAGCCAATCAGGAGTGAGTATTCAAATTAACCCAAACAAAGATGGTAGGTTAATTTGCATACACAGGTGCAGAGCGGCAGGGGGCAGGGTGGCCGCTTGCACACTGTGTCCCAAGTATAGATGTCCTTGGGAGCCAGGCTGCTCTGAGCCTGTAGGCCCACGTGGGGATCCTGGAACAACCCTCCTGCCACTCTGGGTCTATGCACACAGGCGTGGAGCAGCTGGGGAGTGAGGAGGGAGGGTGGGACGGGAAACATCCTCGGGACCCAGGCGCTCTGAGCCGGCACATGCGCAGGTGGCCTGTGGGAGGGCGGGAACATCCCCCACAGCGAGCGAGCAGACAGCAGGGCCCTGCTTGCTCCTGGCCGTGGCAGCAAGGGGCAAGCAGTCCCCTGCAGGGTCTCCACAGAGAGCAGACAACAGGGACCTGCTTGCCCCTGCGGCAGAGAGCAGATATCAGGGCCCTGCTTACCCCTGGCCCTGGTGGCTAAGGGCAAGCAGACCCCCACAGAGAGAAGACACCAGGGCTTGGGTGGCGTAAAGCAGGCAGGTCCACAAAGAGCAGAGAACCACGAGGAGCAGGCCTAAGCCGTCAGTAGGACATTCCCTGAGGGCTCCCAAATTGGAGAGGGTGCAGGTTGGGATGAGGGGCTCCCCTAGTCTTATTTATAACTGAAAAATCAAGATCCATTTCATAGGTGAAATAAAAGAAATTTTTAAAAGTTATTTCTAATATCAGACCCCACATTTAAAACAAAAGGGCTTCTACTGCATTTTCAGAGGTCCAACATAAGTTTCTATAAGCAACATTACCACATTTCTTCCTTACAAATGGGTTTTTAGTAAAAAAATTTTTAAAAATAAATAAATAAATAAATAAATAAATAAATAAATAAATAAATAAATAAAAAATTCTAGGTAGCCCTAGCCAGTTTGGGTCAGTGAATAGAGCAGACTGAAGGGTCCCAGGTTTGATTCCAATCTAAGATACAGACACATACCTCATTACAGGCTTGATTTCCAGCCCTTGTCAGGGCACATGCAGGAGGCAATCAGTCAATGTGTCTCTCTCACATCCATGTTCCTCTCTCTGTCTCTGCCATCCCACATCCACACTCTCTTTAAAAAATACACCCACAAAAATTCTAGGTAAATGGATAATAGAGTCTTATTTTTATTTATTTATGTATTTATGTATTTTTTATTTTTTATTCTTTATTGATTAAGGTGTTACATATGAGTCTGATAATAGAGACTTTGTGGTTTGTATTTAATTAATTGGTCAAGGTCTAGACTCATGCTGAGTAGCAAAATATGTCTAAGATCTGCATGATCTGATATATCAGAAAAGATCCTAATTGAAATGGGTATTTTCTGAAGACTTTAAAAACCATTCCACAGCCTGCCCAGTGTAGCTCAGTGATTGAGCATCGACTTATGAATCAGGAATCATATTTCTATTCCAGTAACCTCCCTATATGTTTTTACTTTCTTTTGAGATATTACCTTCCCTTGCTTGTGAAGTTGAGGCTATGCCCTGTTCTTCTGGAATTGTCTCTCTGGGTGATTCTAGTTCTTCATCTGACACTTTATGTGATTCTAGTAATGACATTCTGTGTGATCCTCTGCGTGACCCTTCTGGTGTTAGTAAATCTCTGGAAGGTGCTTCTTCTGCAGTTGACCCTTTTTGTGATCTTTGTTCTGCTACTGAATCTCTGTGTGATTCTTGTGGTTCATCTATTACTGACATTCTGCGTGATCCTTTGCGTGATCCTCTTCGTGTTACTGACTCTTTAAGAGATTCGTCTTCTTCAGTTGACCCTCTTTGTGGTCCTTGTTCTCCGACTGACTCTCTGGGTGATTCTTGTGTGTCAGCGGGCCATTTGTTTGGTTCTTCTATTACTGACATTCTGCGTGATCCTCTTCGTGACTCTCTAGGAGTTCCTTCTTCTGCAACTGACCCTCTGGGTACTCCTTGTTCTGTTTCTAACTCTCTGTTTGATCCTTCTATTACTGACTCTCTGAGTGAGTCTTCTGCAGTTGACTCTTTTTTTACCCCTTGTTCTGTTACTGGCACTCTGCTTGATTCTTCTTTTGACCCTTTCAGTGGTTCGCCTACTGCTGACATTCTGTGTGACCCTCTGCGTGATCCTGGCTGTGCTGTTGCCTCTTTTTGCTGTCCTTGTGCTGTTGAGTCTGAGTCCATGTCACTTAAAATTTTGTTTGGGTCTTGTCCCGCACTTTTTCTTCTCTGCTGCTCTGGTAGGCTTAGAAATTGTGTTGATTTTCTACGTTTACCGTGTTTTTGTAGATCTGGTTTTTTAAGCAATATAGTTTGTTTGTTTTTTTCAGACAGTGACGTAGTAATCTCTAAGAACACATTGTCAAAGTCTTCATAAATGTGTTTCTGATTATCCATGTCTCCCCACAACTCGGACAACTCTATCTCTTCAAATTCAATGAGTGGCCCTAATGCAAAAGAACAAAGCATTTACCTAAACAATTGCTCTTATAATACAGAATCAGAACTAGTAAGTTAATGCAAAAAAAAAAAAGCATTGAGCACAGTGATTATAATATATGTCTATTACTTTAAATAAGTACCAGTTACCTTTCTCTGCAATACAATAAAAACCAAAAAGGTATCCAATTGAACATAAAAGATGCTCATTACTGTAAATTAGAAAGTATCCCTCCCTAAAAGCTGTGGTTTTGAAAATTAATAGTTGGAGAGTTGCTTAAACTGCCAAGACAAATACAACCTATTCTCTACTTTTAGTCCTCCACAATGAGGTTAGCATGGAATGAGTACAGGGACATATGTCTTCCACCTCAAATACCTTTTCAGTATCTGCAATATCAAGATAAAAGCATGTCTCTACCCATGACACTTTTTCCCAATATTCATTTTCTCTCCTTCTCTACCTTTCTTTCTTCTTTCCTCAATTCTTTTCCTCAACAACTTATGTGGACACTTGACTCAGAATTCTAGGGAAAGACTGAATAGCATTCACCAGAATCGAAGTGTTAAAAGAATACCACCACCAAAACAACACTGGTGACCTGGACTACAAAAAGTGGGACCATGCCAAAGATTGCCTTTCCCTTCTAAAACATTTAGTATTTAGGCTATAAAATTGTGACTCCCATGGGTTTAGGGAATACTTTGTGTACGTCATCCACAGATTTTTAAGTATCCAAGTGATAAATTATCACACAGAAATAATATACTGACATTTTTTGGAAAACCCATCCATTCAATAACTTTCTCTTTAAGAAAAAAAAAAAATAGCCAAAACCGGTTTGGCTCAGTGGATAGAGTGTCAACCTGAGGACTGAAAGGTCCCAGGTTTGATTCCAGTCAAGGGCATGTACCTTGGTTGCGGGCACATCCCCGGTAGGGGGTGTGAAGGAGGCAGCTGGTCGATGTTTCTCTCTCATCTACATTTCTAGCTCTCTATCCCTCTCCCTTCCTCTCTGTGGAAAATCAATAAAACAAAATAAAAAGAAAGAAATAAAAATAAAACCACTAGTCCCATTTGTTTTGGTGGTAATATAAAATTTTCACTGTATTAGTACAATAAAGGTGTACGAGTAAAAATGCTTGAGAGAGGGAAACATTTTTATTAAAAATCTTAGAATTCTAAGTTGGACATTAAAACTGGAGTTACCATTACCAACTAAATTTCTGAAACATTCAGATTGTTACTAAAACATTTCTTCATTTGAACAAATTAAAAATTGAGTTCTAGCTTGACAACGTTTAGTATCGCACTGTAGTGAAAAATACATCTAGTAATAAAGGAATGACTTTTGTGGGGAATGAGCAGCTAGATATAGCTATCATGATCTAAGAGAGACATGAAGACATTCCACAGGGATAGAATGGCCTTGTATTATCATATTGGTGTACTTAATAATTTCAGTTTGAGCATAATCCCTCTGAGTGGCACTTACATTGTCTTGGGTTTCGGAGTAAATGTTTAATCATTTTTGGGCTTTGGTCATAGAATGTTTCCAGCAAGGCCAATGTCCTCTGCCGATCCAAAAACCCTACCTAAGCAGGAAGTTGATCATTAGGTGTTATAAGAGATTTGAGATTTTTATGTAGACAGACTATGGCTTATTGGAACATTCATCACTACCATCACTATCATCATCATATAAATAAAATCTGCAGTCAAAATTGGGAAAGCTATACCTTGCCTCTTTCGGCTTATACTCTATTTTCTTATTCTGTGACATGTCAAAATGCCTTAACACTTAAAGATGCTGAACAAATATTTGTTACTGATGTAATTGTTTAATCCAGTGTACAATGTTCAATTCCCATCAAACTGATCTAAGTATGACACTTAGGACAATTAACTGCTCCCTTCTTGTTCTTTTTTTTTTGTGGCATTTTTATTTGGGGGAAAAGTTAATTATAGAAAAAATAAGAAAACTAACACTTTGTGTTCCCAGCACCCAGAAATGACAATTATTACCATTTTTTTTTTGAACTTTAAAAATCTATAACTGAAGAATCCAAGATGGATGCACAGGTAAACACCTAGCTGCAGCCGCACACAACAATTTCAATAAAATATAAAATGGACATTACCCAGAACTATAAGAAAGTCGACTGACTGGAAATTCTACAACGAGAAGCAAGGAGAAGACTAGAAGGAAGAGCAGAGGAGCTGTAAAAGCCTAAGGTACAGAGACACGTGGCGCGCGCAGAGAGGACGGAGCTGAAGAGGAGGGGAACTGAGTGCCTGGCTGGTGTTCCCTAGTGGGAAGGAGATAAAAGCTCCAACTGTGTTGGCCCCCAGTTCCGACTGCTCTGAACCCCAGTTCTAGGCCAGACCCCGGGACCCAGGCTCAAACAGAGGAAGCTGGGCTGTAAGGCGGAACCCTGGGGGAGTGGCAAAAGGAGGTCCCGGAGGCGCGCACATTGCTCGCAGAGAAGGGATGGTTGGCTGTGCCGCAGGATTGTCCTGGCGGGAAGGAGACAGGGGCTCCAGATTGCTCTGAACACCACCTCCAACTCCACTTCCAACTGAACTGAACCCCAATACCAGGCTCAGTGGGGGAGAGCCTAGACTGTTTGGTAGCAGGCGAAAATCGAGGGCACCTTTCTCTCAGAGGCGCTTGCAAGGAGTACTGAAGGACCCTGAGACGCAGGAGCCGCATAGGTCGGGGCTGACAGAAGCCAAAGCTGTAGGCTCCACCCTGAAACCCCGTCCCATCTGTAACTGAGAAATGCGACAACAAAATAGATCACAAACGAAAGAAATGGAGGACAAAAAGCGTCTGGATATAGAGTTCAAATCTATGCTTATAAGGTTTTTCAAGAATTTCCTAGAAAAGATCGATAAGACCTATGAGGATATGAAAAGGGATCAACTAGAATTAATAAGGAATCAACAAGAAATGATAAGGGAGCAACAAGAAATAAAGAATACATTGTCTGAAATAAAAAATATTATACAGAGTCCTAAAAACAGAATGGAAGATTGCAAAAATCAAGTCAAAGATTTGGAACATAAAGAGACAGAAGACACTCCTCCGCAGAAGCTAGAAGGCAAGAGAATCTAGAAAATTGAAGATAATGTAAGAAACCTCTGGGACAACTTCAAGCGAATCAACATCAAAATTATGGGGGTCCCAGAAGATGAGGGAGAGCAAGATATCAAAAACATACTGAAAGAAATAGTGACAGAAAACTTCCCCCTCCTGGTGAAAGAATTAGACTTACAAGTCCAGGAAGCGCACAGAACTCCAAACAAAAGGAATCCAAAGAGGACCACACCAAGACACATCATAATTAAAATCCCAAGAGCAAAAGACAAAGAGAGAATATTAAAAGCAGCAAGAGCAAAGCAAGTAGTTACCTATAAAGGAGCACCTATACGATTGTCAGCTGATTTCTCAACAGAAACCATGCAGGCCAGACAGGAATGGCAAGAAATATTCAAGGTGATGAATAGTAAGAACCTACAGCCAAAGATAATCTATCCAGCAAAGCTATCACTCAGAATCGAAGGTCAGATAAAGAGCTTCACTAATAAAAAAAAAAGCTAAAGGAATTCATCACCACTAAACCAGAATTATATGAATTGCTGAAGGGGGTTCTTTCAGAAGAGAAAGTAAATCAAGATAAAAATTATGAACAACAAATAAGTAACTATCAACAAGTGAATCTAAAAACCAAGGAAATTAAAAAAAAAATCTGATGAACAATATTAACTGTTGAATATAATAGAATCAGAGGTATGGAAGGGGAGTGAACTGATGATTCTTGGGGAAAAGGGGAGAGGGGGATGTGGGAAGAGACTGAACATAAACTGTGCACCTATGGATGAGGACAATGGGGAGTGGGAAAAGGGCAGGGGGTGGGGTTGGAACCTGGTGGAGGAGAACAATGGGGGGGGGAGAGGAACATTTGTAATAATATAAACAATAAAAATTTATTTAAAAAAAATCTATAACTGAGCCTTGGCTGGTGTTGCTCAGTGGTTAAAGCATCGGCCTGCAAACCAAAGGGTTGCAGGTTTGATTCCTGACCCCAGTTGGGGCATATGCGAGAGGCAACAAATAGATATGTTTCTCTCACATCAATGTTTCTCTTATTCCCTTTCTCTCTCTTTCTCTCTCTCTCTCTCTCTCTCTCTCTCTCAACCTCATTCCCTTTTATTCTCTCTAAAAACTAATAGAAAATATGTCCTTGGGGGAGGGTTAACAAACAAAACAAAACCAACCAACCAATCAAACAAAAAAAATATATAACTGATATCATAGTATATGTATCCTTTATTAAATTTTAAAAATATTTTTATAAAGAGTTAATTTGAGCCAAACTGATGACATGCTAGGAAACAAGATCTCAAATGTTCCCTCCGCTTAAAAAAAACCTTTTTATAAGCATTTCAGATATCCTTAAAATTGCTCTTATTTACACAACATTGAGATCTGATTCATGTATGTAAAGAAACATTATCTCATTTCTTTTAACTGTATAGTATTCTATAATATAAAAAATTGTAATTTTTTGATGGGCATTTAGATTATTTCCAGTATTTTGATACCAAAAATAATGTGTACAAAAGATGTCCTTATACATATCTCCTGTGTACATGTATAAACATTTCCCTAGGGTAAATAAATAGAAAGGCAATTAATGAATTGTATATTAATTTATTTATGCATTCATTGGCTGATTCTTATATGTGCCCTGACCAGGTATCAAACCCATAACCTTGGCATATCAGGACAATGCTCTAACCGGCCAGGGTGTCTTCTTGGAGTTACACCCCGAACTCTTACTGCCACCTTCTCTGCACAACCACTCCCCTCACCACAGGTATTTGGGAATACTCATCACCTTCCTGGAGCCACTAACCTCAGGCCCATCTCCCTAAACCCTTCCGCAGCACTTTAGCGCTTTAGTGTCATGTTGGATTCAGTTCTTCTCTATGAAGCTTGCAGTCTCTGAGCTAAACCCAGGAAAAAAAGCATAAGCCCTGCTGTTCTTAAATTTCTCCACAACCTACTTAGAATTTCTAAGAGTATAATATTACCTTCAGCCCTGATTGGGGCTCAAAGGTGGGGGATCAGGTGCTAACTGTGACTTAGGGACCCAGATAACCTCTAACCCCTAATCACATCCCCTCTACTACATCCTCCCTCCATCAGCTGGTCACAGTTTCCCAGTGATAGGAAAAGTGCTTTAATGTCTTATTTTTCATTCTTCCTTACTCAATGACTTAAAAAAAACACACATATCTTTTATTGATTTTTTTACAGAGAGGAAGGGAGAAGGATAGGGAGCTGGAAACATCAATGAGAGAGAAACACTGATCAGCTGCCTCCTGCACACCCCGGTCAGGGCATCTGACTGGAGATGGGCCTGCAACCAAGGTTCATGCCCTTGACCGGAATCAAACCTGGGACCCTTCAGTCCACAGGCCGATGCTCTATCCACCAACCCAAACCGGTTAGGGCTGAGTTTTTTTTTGTTTGTTTGTTTGTTTGTTTTTCAGGAGCCCTGGATTTTCAAGTGAAAGCACAGGCTTTTGAACTCTTGTCTCAGCTATCAGAAACTGTTTTTTCCTTAAACTGTATCTGTCTTACCTACCAGATCAGCACATAGTTTCTATTTGAACACTGGGAAGAAATGCAAAAGGCACAACCAAATCTAATTTAATTTATTTAAATATGACCCTGCTATGTTTGTTATAGCATATGAATTGGTATTAAATTGGCCAACAGTGAATAGCTGGTATCCAGGCACTTATTGGAGAGTAAAATCTTGACCTCCATGTCACCAATACTTATTTTAAGCTTCGTTAAAAGAAACAATATTCAACAGGACACATAGACATTTCACATTTTATAAAATATATTCCTGATGTAAGCCAAATTAGCAGGGATCTGAGAACCTAGACTTCAATATATTGGATCCTTCAAAACTTGCTTTTTCTGAATTGCAGTCAGGTATGGTATCATTTACCTACACTTAAGGTGGTTATAAGAAATTTCTCTAAGAAAGTCATTGTTTCATTTATTATATGTCTGGCATAATGGTCTTACACTTCAACACACAGGGTCCCTTTGCGAGTACTTGTGGGAGGAACTGCTGACTTTTCTGTACTTTATCTTATAAACCCCGATAGAATGTTTGCTTATGTTTCCCTTTTCACATTCACTATTAGGAAGCTTAGATTTAAACTTGTAGGCAACCTAGAACAAATATTTAGGCAATTCTAATACACTTTTTGGGCTTTATTCCCAGCTTCAGTAACTATTATCTCTCTTATTTTTCACTTCCTTCATCCTACTTTTAATATATGTTCCTTTGTTGCAATCTTTTTTTTTTTTTGGAACAGAGGAATACAAAGTTCATAAACAAATACATATCAGTAAAATTTGTACCTATTTTAAAAATCCATTTGGCAATAGCACACCAATATCCGCTCAAGTACCATCTTAGAAATACTTTTTGATATAAACTTTTCTTTTAAAGAAGCAGTATAATAAGATGTAGTAGAATCCCTATTCCTTGCAGCTTTTTTTTTTTTTAATAAGAAGCCACCAGAAAAAAAGAGTAAGCAAAAACAATAGTAAGCAACCCATTCTTAAGAATTGGAAAGAGATTTAGAGATAAGTTATATGCTGTGAAATGTTGTGCCATGCAAGGTGTGGTCTATAAGCTAGTACAAGTCTGTGGTGAGAAAGGTACATAACTTGAAAACAGCATTTAGCAAATTTGAGAAAGTAACAGATGCTAAATCAGAGTCGAATCTGACAATAAAAATATGAGTTGTATTTTGTATGTACTTTTCCACCTTCGTAATCCATTTTTCGTTCCACAGCAGATTAGAAATTCAAAACATCACCATTAACAACAAACTAAAAACTGGTCCTTACAGCAAATAATTTAAGAAACATGGCTTTAAGGGTCTTACCCTACCTTGGCACAGTCACAATGCAGGAAGAGTTCAACAAACATCTGCCTCTGCATATCCGCTTTTATGATCTCCCGGAATTCATCTGCACAGTGGCAGAGGTGCTTAAGGAGTTCTTCAAAGATTTCACTTTTCAAGTCTGCAATATGCAAAGAGATGTACTGCAGGGAGAAAGAGGAAAAGTGACTGATGTAAAACTGTGCTCTTTCCTTGGGTTTTTCCGAGGATTCAGTTGAGGTGCGTGAAATTAATGGCTGCCATTTCCCCCATATCATTTGTTTGTCACTGAGATAAAGCATTTCCTATTAGTGCGAGTCTACAGGCTGTCAGCAGAGGGAGCTGATCAATAACAGTCCCCAACGCCACATACAATGGGACTAGGTATTTTGGAAGCAATTTCCCTTTAGATCACATCAGCTCTTTATAGGACACAATTTTTACCTGATTGTTTGTAACAGCAGCAGTCATAGAACGTTGCCTGTAAATTACTAGCTCTAAAAATTGAATGCAGCTTTTCTTTTGATGTGTGGCATATAAGACTGTTTTTCAAGACTGACTACAAATAGATGGGGTGTTTGTTTTATGGTTTGTGTTTGTTTTTTTTAATATTGCAATAAGGTATTCTTTGTCTATGATTTTCTGTTTCTTTTGAAAGTGTAGAGTCTGAAACATCTATGATCCTAGGCCATTTAAAATAAATAAGTAAATTTCTAGTCAAGGGATAAATGCCTCCTTTTTTTTTTTTTATCATGTTCAGTTTAAATGCTGTAAATTCTTAGCAAGATGAAAAATGATACAGATATAAAAGTTGAAGGATCAGTATTTGGTGTTTGGGTAACCAGCCCATGGTTGACTTGTTTTGAGATTATATAGACCCATCTTAAATGTAGTGGGCACATTGTTTTAACTTGAGGAATCCATATTTCTGCCACTACTATTCCAAACTCATATGATCTTGAGCCATTTTTCTTTGTTCATAATAGTTACTTATTTCATTATTAAATTTCTGGGTTGTCATTGGTTAATAGGATCTTGAAGGTTTCAGGTGTGGATTTCTATGTTAAAATATCTGTATATTACACCGTGTCAAATCATCTTGCATTTGACCACCTAAAGTCAAATCATCTTGCATCACCATCTATTAGGCCCCCTTTACCCCACCGCTAGCCTCTTCCCTCTGGCAACTACACATTGCTATTTGTGTCCACGAGGTTCAGCTTTTATATTCCACACTAGAGGCCCGGTGCATGAAATTCATGCATGGGGGCGGGTTTGTATATGTACCTCAGCCCAACCTGCACCCTCTCCAATCTGGGATCCCTCTCAAAATCCAAAACTGCTGGCTCCCAACCTCTCACCAGCCTGCCTGCCTGATTGCCCCTAAACCACTTCTGCCTACCAGCCTGAACACTGCATAACCGCTCCCTTGCCAGCCTGACTGCTCCCCCGCTGGCCTGGTTGCCCCTAACTATGCTCCCCTGCAGGCCTGGTCATCCCTAACTGCCCTCCCCTGCTGGCCTGGTTGCCTCCAACTGCCCTCCCCTGCAGGCCTTGTCCCTCCCAACTGCCCTCCCCTGCCAACCTGGTCCCTCTGACTGCCCTCCCCTGCAGACCATCTTGTGGTGGCCATCTTGTGTTTACATGGAAGTGACCATCTTTGACCACATGGGGCAGCCATCTTGTGTGTTGGAGTGATAGTCATTTGCATATTACCACTTTATTATATAGGCTATGAATGAAATCAGATGGTTTGAAGTCATATGAATGAAATAAATGGTTTTTCTGCCTGCCTTACTTCACTTAACAGAATATTCTCAAGGTTCATCCATGTTGTTGCAAATGGCACTATTTTGTCTTTTCTTATGGCTGAGTGGTATTCCATTGTGTATATGTAACACATCTTCTTTATTTAATCCTCTGTTGAAGGACACCTTAGTTGTCTCCCTGTCTTGGCCACAATGAATAATGCTTCAATGACATAGGGGTGCATATATCTTTTCAAGTACATGCTTTCGAGTTTTTCAGGTATATACTCAGGAGAGGGATTGCTGGGTCAAATGGTAGCTCTATTCTTAATTTTTGAGGAATTGTCAGATTACTTTTCCATGGAGGCTATACCAGTCTTCATTCCAACCAGCAGTTCTTTTTTCTCTATAACTTTTCCAACACTTGTTATTACTTGTCTTGTTGATATTAACTATTCCAACAGGTATGAGGTGGCATCTCATTGTAGTTTTGATTTGTATTTCCCTAATTGCTAGTAAGGTTGAACATCTTTTTATATACCTGCTGGCTGTTTGTTTGTCTTCTTGGGAGAGGTGTCTGTTCAGGTCCTCTGACCTGGGTCATTTTTCTTAATGCCTGTTGAATAGATTCCTGGAAGTGGGATTGCTAACTTAGAAGGTAAATGCATCTGTATTTTTGGTAGGTTTTCACATTGGTCAGGCTCGTACCCTACCCTTTTGTGCTCCCACCATTAACATGAGTGACTATTTCTCCTCAGCCTCACTATTAGTGTGTATTGCCTTCCAGATCTTTGCTAATTTGATGGGTCAAGAACATTACATTCTTGAACTACTCCTGAGTGTAATATCTTGTGATAGAGAGAAATGGATTAAGCACTGGAAGAGTTTCTGAATGGACTCCTCTTGAAGGTTTAGCCCAATTCACAGTCACTGATTTCCTCCTCTGACCCAAGCACAGCAGTCACCAAATTTATACTGGTAGCCAAATTTATACCGAATAATCCTAGTTCCTTAGCCATAGATGATTGGGCCAGGGAAGGATACTTAACCTAAACAAAGCCATTCAGTTCCTGGGATTTGGAGTGGGGAATGGCCAGTTGGTCTCTGAGAGAGGTTGGATATATAAATTAAACTTAAGAATTTGTGGATGGCCAGATTACTCCATGTGAACTGAGAATACTGAGGAAGTCTTTATATAGAGATAGATAAATCAAAAAGCAGAGAGCAAAGTTTTCCAAGTTTCTGTTCTAGTCTCTTCTTGAAGCCAGATCATATCCCTGCCCTCGGATTCTGCATATTGCATTTTCAGCTAAATTAGCTCAGGTTGGTTTATGTTTCATGCAACTAAAGAATAGTAACTAATATAGTTTGTTTAAATGAAACATTATGTTGATATATTTCACTGACAATTTTTGAAATGAAGGGAATAGTTACTATTTTATTTCCTCATTAATATCATCAGGAAAATATAGAATGTATCATATAAGAGATACATAGGCTTGAATCCATGCTAATGAATCATAAACCATTATTCAACTGGCTTAGAGACCAAAAGAAGCAGAGCAAAATAGCTTTTTTAAATATTTAGTTTACTTAGCTGACTAAACCACCTAATTGTCATTATTGTTGATGGAACAATGAGCACAGTTAAGGTCATCTGCTACCTTGGGAAGTAGAATAGTGTAATAGTTAAGAATTCACATTTGGAGCCTGTTTGGGTTCAAATCCCAGTTCCCATTTTTACTGGCTGAGTAACCTTGGGTGAGTCACTGAACTTCCCAGTTTCTTCATTTATGAAATAGGCATTATAGTAGCTCTCTCACTGGGCCATGAAGAGAATGCTGTGTTTACAGAACTTAGGTATTTCATATAATAGTTTTTGGTAGTCATTGCTCTTATTTCCTTTTGAGTTAGGTAAAAATAATAATAATAATAAAAATAAAATAAAAATCAACCAAGAAAGTTTTCTATGTAGGATAAAAATCTTGTCAGCTGACTTTCATATTTAGAAGGAAAAATCCTTTGAGATCAATGGCTCTTAAAGTGGAATCCCTTGACCATATCACCTGAGAGCTTGTTAGAAGCTCTGAGAGCTTGTTAGAAATATGAATTTAGGGGCCTACTGAATCAGAAACTACTGCAAACTGTCAGCAGGGCAGTTGCATGACATAGTTTCTCCACTGGGTGGCACCTGTGTACAATAAAAAAATAAATAAATAAATAAAAATATATTGACTTTCAGTCTGCCATTTATTTCATTTTCTTCATTTCATTGTATGAGTTCTAACAAAATAACCTTAAAACAAAACTTTTTAAAAGCAACTGTCCCTTTAAAAAAATTGTCCCAAATATTACTTCTGTGTCATATCATATAAGATGGTTCAGTAATTTATTGATTAGATAATCAAATATGTTTAATAAATATTTACATACAAGAAATACTTTCTTGGTTTCTAATTGAAGTAACAGCTCTTCTCTATAATGAAAGAACCTGAACATGTGCTATTTTCATTTCAGGAAGAGAAGTTGGGAAATATCAGTAAAACTAATAGTAATAGCCCAACCCACCCATTAAAACAAAATTATATAGATAGATATCCACAAAGGAATTATTTAGAATGCTAATGAATTTGTATCAAGTATTATAGGTATGCATCACCTTTACCCATTTTTTCTTTAATTGTATGGATATACATACATGTATACACATATATACATATATTATATATGGGAATATATATATATGTATTCATATGTAATATGTAAATTAAATTGAATGAAGGGAGAAAAAAGTAAAACTGACACCATACTTTACAACATTCAATATCAGAAAACAAACAATACCTACATATTGTTTTGGGATATGAAGAAAATGTGACTCAGTTACAGTATACTCATCCAAGGTATAATTTTAGGGGCAATATGAAGACATTCTCAACATAAAAGAACTCAGAAAACATAGCATCCATGTGACCTACATGAAAAAAAACTAGTTTACAATAAATTCAGCCAATTTAGAAATGAATCAAAATAAACAACTTAGGAACAGCATAACATTGTAAATGAACAGAAAGTGATCCTCAAATCCAATCAAATATTAGACTAAGATTAATCAATTATGGTACTTATAATCGCAGAAAAGAAAGTGAATGGTATAAATCTGGATAATATTAAAATTATAAAATAAATAATTAAAATTGGAAACAAGGAAAAAAGGAAGGCATGAAAAAATATTAAATACTTTTATATTAAAAAAATTTTTTTTTATTGATTTCACAGAGGAAGAGAGAAGAGATAGATACATCAGTGATGAAAGAGAATCATTGATTGGCTATCTTCTGCATGCTCCCCACTGGGGCTCAAACACTGGCTTCTTGGTTCATAAGTGGATGCTCAACCACCTATTTACATACAAGAAATACACCACCTGGGCAATATCTTCATCCATATTCTATATAATAAAGAGGTAATATGCAAATTGACCCTCACACAAGATGGCCACCCCAATGTGGTCAAAGATGGCTGCCACAAGATAGCCTGCAGGGAAGTTAGGGGTGACCAGGTCATCAGGGGTGACCAGGATGGTAGAGGAGGGCATTTGGGCGGAGGGACCTGCAGGGGAGGGCATTTGGGGGCAACCAGGATGGCAGGGAAGTGGTTAGGAGGTGATCAGGCTGGCAGGCAGACAAGTGGTTGGAAGCCAGCAGTCCTGGATTGTGAGAGGGATATCCCAGATTAGAGAGGGTTCAGGCTGGGCTGAGGGATACTCTCTCCCCAGTGCATGAAATTTGTGCACCGGCCCTCTAGTACTGCATATAAAAGGCTAAAATGCAAAGTATCCCTCCAGGAGTTTGGGAGACTGGAAGTTTGATTGCTTGCTATGATGTGCACTGAACACCAGGAGGCGGTGCGGGATGAAGGAAGATCCAGCCCAGCAGCCAGCAGCAGCCAAGAAAGGTAGGTTCCGGCCAGCAGTGGAAGACCCCCAATTGGCCCTGATTGCTGGCCAGGCCTAGGGACCCTACTAATGCACGAATTTCATGCATTGGACCTCTAGTCTTTTATAATAGGGTGCCATTTTATTTCTATAATTGAAGTATGAGATTAAAAAATAATTACTGCAATCTTTTCTGATTTTCATCATATGGTCTTAGAATTATTTTAGAATAACTTTTGTAAAGATATGTTCAATTTCAACAATGTCCTTATTTTTACTTCAGTTTCTCCTTTTTGTGTTACAATCAAGAAATAAGATTTTAAGTAATTAGTTTTATAACAAAATTTATTATCGTCTACCAAATACCCATCTCTCTACTGAGACAAAGTATACGAAGCTGTTTACAATGGTGTTTATTTCTAGGTAATAAACTTATGGTAATTTAAAAATCTCTATCTTTGTATTTTTATGTGTTGTTTAAATTTATTTTTTGGTCATGATAATTTTTACAAAATTAAATAACTTTTTCTTAGAAAATATGCCAAAGTGTTAGCAAGAATTAATTTGAGGGTATGGGAATATGTAATTATGTGATTTTCTATTTTAAACTCTGAGTTTTTAAAATCCCTCACTCTTTCCATTTTTTAAAGTTTTAAGACTATAATTTCTCATCTGAGTAAACATTTCATAGCAGTTCACAAAATTGTAAGATTTTAACCCAATAATTATTAAAGAGAATATTTGAAAATATGTTTTTATTGATTTTTTTTTTTTTTTTTTTTTTTTTTTTTAGAAAGAAGGGGAGAGAGAGAGAAACACTGATGAGAGAGAAACGGTCCATGCCTCCTGCATGTCCCCTACTGGGGATTGAATGTGAAACCTGGGCATGTGCCCTGCCCAGAAATTGAATTCGTGACCACATGGGAAGACATTCAATCAACCGAGCTACGCCAGCCAGGCAAAAGAGAGTATTTTTTAAATTTCCAAATTTATATAATTTTGAGCTTATATAATTTTAAATTTGTTTATTATTTCCATTTTCATTATATAATAAGAGAACCTAACATTTTAGATTTCTAGTTTTTAGAACCTAAATGGTTTTCTTGGAGACCTATTTACAATAAATTTTTTACAAATATTCCATGAAAACTGAGACATAGAACAGGGTTACTGTTGGATTTGAAGTTTGATACATACATATAATGTCTTATTGATAATACAGGTTCTTTATATTTGTATTTATTTTTATCATATTGACTTACCAAATAATTTTTTAAAGTTTTACTACTTCATGCCGTATGTGAAAATAAAGTCAAAGTGGACCAAAGACTTAGATATATATGTAACAGTTAAAACTATAAAACTTAAATGTTATTTTTTTACCTTGAATTAGGCAATAGTTTCTTAGATATGACCCCAAAACAAAAGCAGGAAAACAACAACAACAACAACAACAAAAATAAACAGAATCCCATCAAAATTTAAAACTTTTGTGCTCTAAAAGCCATCATTAAGAAATTATATACTTGACAATGTATTGTATATAGAATATTTAAAGAACTCTTATAACTCAATAATAGACACATAATCCTATTTAAAATGGTCAAAGGATTTAGATAGACATTTCTCTAAAGAAGATATATATAATATATAAATAAACACATGTAAATATGCTCAATATGATATTAGCCATCAGGGAAATTCATTTCAAAACCAAGTGAGCTGTCACTTTATCCAATAAGAAAGGCTATAATTTAAACAAACAAGCCAAAAGGGAAATAATGAACGTTGGCAGGGGTGTGGAGCAACTGGAACCCTCATTCACAAAAAAAACAACTTACATATAAATGTCATATTCACAATAGTCAAAAAAGTAAAAATAATTCATAATAACTAGTTCTTTTAATTTTTAAAAATTTATTTTAATAATGTTATTTTGGCATTTATGGGTAAAATAGGAGCTCTGGAATACATTTATTTTCAATTGAACAGTCATAAGAAGTCATACCATGATTAATCTTTTCATTTCAGTCTGGCAAACTAAATTGCCTTTCCCAAGATAGAGGAAAAGATATGAAAGGCTTTGTCAACAGCAGGCAAAGTAACAAGAGACCACATGGAACTAGGATTTTTTTCTCAAAATTTCAAATTTATCTGGGAATGATTGAAAATTTTCCCAGCTCCACTAACTGTGAGACTTGTGCAAGTTACTTAATTTTTCTGCACTTCATCTATGTATGTTCATCTACAAAATTAGGAATATGGATTGCTGAATTAACTGAGTTAATATACAAGGTGGGGCAAAAGTAGGTTTATAGTTTTTCATAAATGAGTGAAATCATATGATATGATAGAAAATAATAAAATAATTGATACTAATAAAAGAGAAATTTGCAAATTAACCACCACTCTACTACCCAACAAGCCATGCCCACCATCTAATCAGGAGCAAGTATGCAAATAAACCCAACCAAGATGGTGGCCGGCCACAGAGCAGACAGGAGGCTTGGATTTCCCCAGCAATGAAGGAAACCAAGCTTTTCACCCACATGGCCGGCCTGCAAATGACCACAGGCCCCTCGCCCAGGTTGCCCACAACAAGGGAACCCCCACTGTGATCCAAGACACCCTTCAGGGTAAACCACCTGGTCCCCATCCATGTACCAGGCCTCTATCCTATCTAATAAAAGAATAATATGCAAATTGACCATCCCTCCAATACACAAGATGGCTGCCCCTATGTGGTCAAAGATCCTGCCCCCACGTGGACACAAGATGGCTGCCACAATATGGCCAGCAGGGGAGGGGAGTTGAGAAGGACCAGGCCTGCAAGGGAGAGCAGTTGGGGGCAATCAAGCCTGTAAGGGATGGCAGTTAGGGGTGAACAGGCCAGCAGAGGAGGGAAGTTGGGGGTGACCAGGCCGGCAGGGGAGGGGAGCTGGGGGGACCAGGCCTGCAGGGGAGGGAAGTTAGGGGTGACCAGGCCGGCAGGGGAGGGCAATCAGGCTGGCAGGGGAGCAGTTAGGCATCAATCAGACTGTCAGGGAGTGGTTATGAGGTGATCAGGAAGACAGAAGCAGTTAGGGGCAATCAGGAAGGCAAGCAGGTGAGCAGTTGGGAGCCAGTAATTTTGGATTGTGAGAGGGATGTCCAACTGCCTTTTTAGGCCTGATCCAGATAGGATCGGACAGTTGGACATTCCTCGAGGGGTCTCAGATTGGAGAGGGTGCAGGCTGGGCTGAAGGACACACACCCCTGTGTATGAATTTTGTGCACCAGGCCTCTAGTTTATAAATAATAATGCAAGAATAAACTCTGTCTTTTGCATACTCACAATGAAGCATCCATTTTATATAAAAACTGCTGTTTGAAATTTTAACCTGATGTTTTGGCTTCTGTAAATGCTTTCTTGCTTAAATAATAAGGAAAATAAGACTACTCCAATTCCAGAGAGGCTGTAGACTATGCCCCAGACAGAGTTGTCAGTGCTGACACCAGCTAGGCCTTGAGATATGGTCTCGTGGCCCCTTGCCAGCACATGTGCCTTCATTCCAAAATTTGGGAGATAAAAGAGCTAGGAAAAGTACAAATAGAAAAGCTTTCCTTCGTGTAGGGGGCCCAGAATTTGAAAGGTACATTTTTCTCTGGCCCTGAGCTTAATAAAAATGTAACTTCCTTTCTCTAAGCATGGCTTGGTTCTTTTCTGGTCTTCTGTAACAACTGTAAACCTACTTTTGGCTCACTCTGTATGTATAGCTTAGGACAGGGCTTGGCCCATAGTTAAGTTTTAGATCTCATTGTTATTTGTATAACCAGATTTCACTGAATACAAGAAGATGGCTTTTCTTTATCTTACCCAAAGGTGCCAGTAGAATTTTTCACACTTTCACATCATGAGTACCACTGATTGAAAGAAATTGTAAGTTGACTCTGATTATAAAATGTAACCATAATTTCAGAGGCATTAAAATATTTTAAAATGTGCATCTTAGAATCAATAAAACAAGTTATTATGTTTATATTTGATTTAATTCTAAGTTAATATATATGTGACATCCACCAAAACTGGAAAAATAATTTGAGTTAAATAATGAATAATATAACTTCTTACTTCCGTAAATTCCATTTTGTTCAATCTTTGCTCCATTGAGTCAACAATATTCAAGTTTTTGGCAAGTGTTTCTATTATGGAATAAAAGTTATTTCTAGTTAGTGTGGTTACAATAAAGTTAAATTTTTATTCATGTTATAGTGTTTTAAAATAACATAAAAGTATTTCTTAATTCATGCCCATTAAGATTTGTAATAAAGTAAAAGATATATAATTGGGTAATATTCCAATTACTATAAAATTATTATTTTATTTAACCAAACAACCCCAAAATGGAAAAGAATGTGCCTACCAGGCTGAAATAAAGCAGAAACAAATATGCATATTGATAGTATAAAAGACTACACATGCACATATCTTTCATTTTTCTATATATAAATATGATCATATTGATCTGCAACGGGCTTTTTTCTTAACCACTCTTCTTGCAAATCTTTTCAAATAGAATCTGGAGCTCAGGGGAAAGGTTTGGGATGGGAACATGGAAGAGAGTCATTAGCAGAAGTCATGGGTTTGAATAAGAAAAGTATGTATAATGTGTAAAGTGATAATAGAGCCAAAAAAGAAACTCTGGAAAACAATATTCAAAGCAATGAAAAGAAGAACCAGAAACAAAGATGCTAAAGGGTGGTCACAGATAGGTGTAAAAATCAAGAGAGAATAATATCACAAAAGCAAAGAAAAACATTTTCATGAATAACAGTGATAAATAATGGTGAATGTGGCAGTTAGTTTGAATAAGGATTTTTTCAGCTTCCATTTAATATGACAGTTATGTGGTCTTTGTTGACCTTACCAAGACGTGAAAGTGCAAACTGCGTGAAAGCTCAAGGTGAAAAAATTAACACACTGGCTTCCTCTCCTACTTCCAACAGTAGTTCCTCCTGCCAATCATGGGCTGATGCATAAAAATACTCTTTAGTCACCATTGATTTTTTTTTTTACTGCTTATTATAAGATGTCAGTTATTATCATAAAAGGACTGTATATGCTTTAGTAAAGTTTATATATTAAATGCTGCTATCTCCATCCCAGATCTTCCTGCAAGCTCGGGAAGATTACACAAGCCAGACAGGTTTCTACTAGTAACAGTTGTTATTAAGTACATGTGTCAGTCCCCTCTCTGGACTTTGAGCAATTTAAGGGCAGTGGGAACATATCTTAGTCCTCTTGGTATCCTCTACCCCATCATAGTTCTGGAACTAAGTGATGGCTCAATAAATATTGAATGAATAAATGGAACAGAAAATTAATACTATATAGTATAGGAGGTGAGAGAAGAAACAATCAATGCTAACTGGAGTGTTCTGAATTTCTCTAATTTTATCACAATCTCAAATACAGCTCTCTTAACTTGTTCCTTTTGTGCCCCTTCAAACACTAAGTAAAACAAGTCATTTAAAAATGTTTCTGAAAGGGGAGTTGAGGTAGTGCTGACTGAATAATTATAGTTTTTGGATAGAATGAAAAGGTAAAAAGAGAAAAGGCTGTCAGCAATGTCTAAATCATGTTTGGGGAACAGTGATTGGGAGGTTGGAAAGCATATTTTGTTTTTAAAAGTATGACAGATGTCAGACAATCTAATGTTATCAATGTAATAAAGTGGTCAAAAAATCAATCAATTGCTATAAGTTATGCAAATCTCAAGACCTAAACTCATATAAGGATTCCTTTCTGAAAGAAAAAGCATCAAAATCCATAAATGTTTTTGGCTTAGTGGATAGAGCTGGTTTGGCTCAGTGTAAAGAGCATTGGCCTGTAGACTGAAGGATCCTGAGTTTGATTACAGGCAAGGGCACATGTCTGGGTTGTGGGCTCGATCCCAGTATGGGGCATGCAGGAGGCAGGAGGCAGCCAATCAGTTATTCTCTCTTATCATTGATTTTTCTCTTTCTCTCTCCTTCTCCCTTCCTCTCTAAAATCAATAAAAATATATTTTTTAAAATCCGTAGATGTAGTCCTGTTTCCCTCTTTCCCAGTGAGCATGGAGGAAATGTGTAAGTGAGTTTTTGTTGATACAATGATGGGGGAGCCGAAACCGGTTTGGCTCAGTGGATAGAGCGTCGGCTTGTGGACTAAAAGGTCCCAGGTTCGATTCCAGTCAAGGGCATGTACCTTGGTTGCGGGCACATCCCCAGTAGGGGGTGTACAAGAGGCAGCTGATTGATGACTCTCTCATCGGTGTTTCTAGCTCTCTATCCCTCTCTCTTCCTCTCTGTAAAAAATCAATAAAATATATTAAAAAACAAAAAAACAATGATGGGGGAGTATGAGTAAAGGAAGAACTTCTGCAATTCCTGCAAAGAAAAAACTCTCTCCCTCCTGCTAGAAATGCAAGTAGGTGAAGATTCTGCTTAGAATAATTTGAAGTCTACATATAAACACAGGATGTGTATTTGCTGTTGAATTTTTAAAGAATGTAACTACTGTGAAAATTTGAGAGAGGATTATACTCTGCTTCATTCTGGAATTTTGCCAAAAGCTATTCACGATTCAGAAAATTATGTAATGGGAGGTAATATACATTGTATCTGAATTCCAATATAACATACCTGTCCGTCTGCATTTTATAGCTCTCCCACTCTACTACCCATGGAATATATACAAGTACATTCATTTTGCTCTTATTTCAAAATTTCAAATACAAAGAAATGGTTGATTAGATATAATTTTTACTTTTCTTAAATTTATTTAGGAGAGCAGAAACCGTTTTTGGCTCAGTGGTAGAGTGTCGGTCTGCGGACTGAGGGGTCCCGGGTTCGATTCCGGTCAAGGGCATGTACCTTGGTTGCGGGCACATCCCTGGTAGGGGGTGTGCAAGAGGCAGCTGTTCGATGTTTCTCTCTCATCAACGTTTCTAGCTCTCTATCTCTCTTTCTTCCTCCCTGTAAAATATCAACAAAATATATTTTAAAATTTTTTTATTTAGGAGAAACCAAGATGGCAGCATAGGTAAACACCTAAACTGCTGCCTTGCACAATTTCAAAACTACAACTAAAAGACAGAACAGACATCATCCAGAACCACAGGAAAGCTGGCTGAGTGGAAATTCTATCAATACAACTAAAAGGAAAGAAAAAAAGCTCATGGAAAATCAGAGGAGCTGCAAAGGACTGAGGTATGGAGATACGCACAGAAAGGAAGGACGGCTGAGTGCCTGGCTGGTGTTCTCTGGCGGGAGCAGGAAGGAAACCCCCAACTGCTCTGAATCCTAGTTCCGACTGCACTGAATCCCAGTTCCAGGAAAAACCCCGTAGACCTAGGTTTATATGGGGGGGAGTCTGGACTGTCAGGTAGAGAGAAAGGCACATGGAGACTTGGAGACTTGGAGACTTGAGGGAAACCGTGCTGAGCAGGGGTTTGGAGGTGCGCACCTGCACAGAAAAGACTGACTGCTGAGGTTGCCACTAGCTCTCCCTAGCAAAAGGGAGTCAGAAGCTCCTAATTGCACTGAACCCCAGTTCTGGGTGAGCCTGGGGGAATCTGGATTTTAGGTGGAAACTCAGTGGAGTCGCGGAAGGCAGAGGTCTGGAGGCACACATCCAAGGGCAGGGCTGATAGGAAGCCAAGGTCGTCTGCTCAGCCCTAAGACTCCACCCCATCCAAACTGAGCAGAGGCTTTAGCAATTTTGCAAGTCTGCTCCTATAAGGCTGTCTCACAACCAATTGGCATAGACACAGCTGATACTCACAGCCATTTGGCCTGGAGGTCAATTCCTTCCAGTGATTACCAACAACAATCAAGACTTAACTACAACAAGGCTGTACACACAAGACCACAAAGGGGTGCACCAATAGTGCCCACCTCAGGTGACTAGGAGGCCAACCCACTGGCCATATAGGAAACCTAGCACTCAAAGCTACCCTACCAACTCAGAGAAGTAGCAAAAATGTGGAGACAAAGTAACAGATCACAAACAGAAGAAATGGAGGTGAAAAAAATGACTGGATATAGAATTCAAAACCATAGTTATAGGTTTTCCAAGAATTTCCTAGAAAATGCTGATAAATTTAGCCAGACCCTTGAAGATATGTAAAGGACCAACTAGAAATTAAATATACTAACTGAAATGAAAAATATACAGAGACCCAACTGCAGACTAGAGGAATGCAAGAATCAAGTCAAAGATTTGAAATACAAAGAAGCAAAAAACACTCAACTGGAAAAGCAAAAAGAATCCAAAAAGTTGAAGCCTCTGGGACAATTTCAAGTGTACCAACATCAGAATTATGGGGATGCCAGAAGAAGAGAGAGAGCAAGATATTGAAAAGCTATTTGAAGAAATAATGACTGAAAACTTACCCCACCAGGTGAAAAAAAATAGACTTATGAATATAGGAAGTGCACAGAACCCCAAACAAAAGGAATGTAGCCCTAACTGGTTTGGCTCAGTGGATAGAGCATCGGCCTGGGAACTAAAGGGTCTCAGGTTCAATTCCGGCCAAGGGCATATACATTGGTTGCGGGCACATCCCTAGTAAGGAGTGTGCAGGAGGCAGCTGATGATGTTTCTCTCTCCTCAATGTTTCTAACTCTCTATCCCTCTCCTTCCTCTCTATAAAAAATCAATAAAATATTTTTTAAAAAAAGGAATGCAAAGAGGACCACACCAACACACATCATAATTAAAATGCCAAGAGCAAAAGACAAAGAGAATATTAAAAGCAGAAAGAGAAAAACAGTTAATTACCTACAAGGGAGCACCCATATGATTGTCAGCTGATTTCTCAACAGAAACTATGCAGGCCAGATGGGAGTGGCAAGAAATATTCAAAGTGCTGAATAGCAAGAACCTACAACCAAGATTACTCTAACCAACAAAGTTATCATTCAGATTGGAATGTCAGATAAAGAGTTTCACAGATAAGAAAAAGCTAAAGGAGTTCATCATTACCAAACCAGTATTATTTGAAATGCTGAAAGGTATTCTCTAAGAGGAAGAAGAAGAAAAAAGTAAAGATAAAAATTATATGAACAACAAATACATATCTATCAACAAGTGAACCTAAAAATCAAATGAATTAAAAATTTGAGGAACAGAATAAATTGGTGAATATAATAGAATCAAGGGCATAGAAAGGGAGTGGACTGATAATTCTCAGGGGGAAAGGGGATGAGGTGCAGGGAGAGACTGGATAAAAATTGTACACCTATGGATGAGGACAGTGTGGGGGGGTGGTAAGGGTAGAGGGTGGGGTGGGAACCGAATGGAGGGGAGCTATGGGGGAGGGGGGAGAAACTATTGTAATAATCTAAACAATAAAGATTAAATTTTAAAAAATATTTATTTTTAATATATATTTTTATTTCAGAGAGGAAGGGAAAGGGAGAGAGATAGAAACATCAATTATGAGAAAGAATCATTGACTGGCTGTCTTCTGCATACCCAGTTGAGCCCCCAGACCTGGCATATGCCTGACTGAGAATCAAGCCATGACCTCCTGGTTCAATGCGTGAGCAATGCTGGCCAAGCTACTTTTCTTACATTTAAACATTAATTAAAAATTCAAATGTTATTACTCTATTATATCTTATAGTAAAGTTATAACCAAGCATTTATGTGTTAAAATAGAGTGCATATAACTTTTATCTTTTTTTTTCTTTGTATCACATTTATGACATTATATCTTTCATTTAAAATTCTGTGTATCTTGCCGAAACCGGTTTGGCTCAGTGGATAGAGTGTCGGTCTGCGGACTGAAGGGTCCCAGGTTCAATTCCGGTGAAGGGCATGTACCTTGGTTGCGGGCATATCCCCAGTAGGGGGTGTGCAAGAGGCAGCCGATGGATGATTCTCATTGATGTTTCTAACTCTCTATCCCTCTCTCTTCCTCTCTGTAAAAAAATCAATAAAATATATTTTTTGAAAAAAATTAAAAAAAATAAAATTCTGTATATCTAAGTAATGTTTTCTAGGAATTTGACAAAATAATAAAGGGTATTACAGAATATTTTTTTTATAAAATGGTGCTAAATCCAGTGCTAAAAGGATTAAAAATCACTGACTGCTTCTCTGCTTTTTTACATTCTCCATCTGCAAAGAGCAAAGAAGCTCTAGCTGATTTGGCTCAGTGGATAGAGCGCCAGCCTGTGACTGATGGGTCCCAGGTTTGATTCCAGTCAAGGACACATACCTTGATTGCAGGCTCCTCCGGGGCCTTGGGCCTGGTTGGGGCTTGTGCAGGAGGCAACCAATCGATGTGTTTCTCTCACATCGATATTTCTCTCAATCTCTCCCTTTCTATTTCACTCTCTCTAAAAATCAATGGAAAAATATCCTCAGGTGAGGATTAAAAAAAAATGGAAAGAGCAAAAAAGCTCAAGTACATCTGTAAGAGCTTTGAATAATAGCCATCTCAATACTGACTCTTCATCTTAATTCAGCATCCCTTCCCTTCCCCCCAAAAGAGAAAAAGAACAACACATAAATAATATAATAATAGGCATGCTTACCAAGCTTGAAATTTGGATTTTGAAAAAAATCATAAAGAACATTCTGAATCTGTAAATAAAAAAGATCATATATTACTTCTCAGTTACCATATACTCTCTGCCTACTACCACATAGTATACAGCTTCCCCCATTCACCATCACCACCATAGTGGTCCATTTGTTGCAATCAATAAGCCTTCATTGAAACATCATAACCCTAAATTCTTAGTTTACATTTGGGATCATTCTCGCTGTTATACATTCTATGGGTCTTGACAAATGTATAATAACATGTATCCACTATTATGGCATTATACAGAATTATTGTTTTTTTAAATATATTTTTATTGATTTTTTACAGAGAGGAAGAGAGAGGGATAGAGTTAGAAACATCAATGAGAGAGAATCACCGATCAGCTGCCTCTTGCACACCCCCTACTGGGGATGTGTCCGCAACCAAGGTACATGCCCTTGACCAGAATCGAACCTGGGACCCTTCAGTCCACAGACTGATGCTCTATCCACTGAGCCAAACTGGTTTCGGCATCATACAGAATTGTTTTACTGCCTAAAAACCCTCTGTGCTTTGCCCATTTATCCCTCCTTCCCCTCTCACTCCTGGAAACCACTGATATTTTTACTTTTAACTTTTCCAGACTGCCATAGAATTAGAATCATACAGTATGGTAGCCTTTTCAGATTGGCTCCTTTCAGCTAGTAATATGCATTTAAGGTTACTCCATATCTTATCATGGTGTAATAGTTCATTTCTTTCTAGCACTGAATAACATTCCATTTTTTTTAAATCAATCTTTATTGTTCATATTATTACAAAGGTTCCTCATTTCTTCCCCCCTCCACCAGGTTCCCACCCCACCCTCTGCCCCCTCCCCATCCCCCATTGTCCTCATCCATAGGTGCACAGTTTATGTTCAGTCTCTTCTTCCCTCCCTTTCCCCAATAGTAAATCCCTTTTCAGATAGTAAATCAGTTACTTAGCATTTTCTCATATCAATAATACCTCCACATGCCCAATGATACACTTCACACAAAAGACATTTCCCAATAGGACAACTAGCCTCGTCCAGGCCCCACCCAAGGCACTCACAGATCAACACCCCAGCCCTATACTAATTCAACACATCCAGATCTAAGCCTTCATCACTTGATTCAGCAGACCCTCAAGTTCCCGCGAAAGTTTCCAGCCATGTCTGAGAGGCAGCCGTTGGGCAGGGGCAGGCGAGGAGCGAGCTGTTCCGGGCCTGGCTGCTCAGGGCCTGGCCTCTGTTGCTCTGGTTCGTTCCACAACCAGCTGCTCCGGGTCTGGTCACTGCCGCTCCCGACCTAGTTGCTCTGGACTTGACTCCTGCTGCTCCGGGCCTGACCGCTCCCAGCCTGGCAGCCGCTGCTCCGGGCTTGGCTGCACCCGACCCGGCTGCTCCCCCAGGCCTGGTCGCTCCCAGCCTGGCAGCTGCTGCTCCGGGCCTGGCCGCACCCGACCCGGCTATAACATTCCATTTTATGATATACCACAGTTTATTTATTCACTCACCAAAGGACATCTTGGTTGCTCCCAAATTTTGGCAATCCTATATAATAAAAGCCTAATATGCTAAGTGTCCATCTGTCTGTTCAGCCATTCGACCAGTCACTATAATGCACACTGACAACCAGGGGGCAGGTGCTCCAACCGGTAGGTTAGCTTGCTGCTGGGGTCCAGCTGATCGGGAATGGGTGAGATGGACCAGACATGCCCTGGAGTGGAGCCCTCCCACAGTTGCTCCCCAGCCCCAATCATGCACCAGTGGAGTCCCTCAGCCTGGTCTGTGCCCTCTCACAATCCGGGACCCCTTGGGGGATGTCAGAGAGCCAGTTTTGGCCAGATCCCCCCCACAGGTCAGCCCGGGGAACCCCACCGATGCATCCATGCATGGGGCATCTAGTTATAAATAAAGTGCCTTAATCATCTATGTGCCTATTTTTGCATGGACGTAAGTTTTTGAATCCTTTGGGTATGTACCAAGGAATATGATGGCTGGATCATATGGTAAGATTATGTTCAGTTTTCTAAGGAACTGCCAAACTGTCTTCCAAAGTGGCTATAGCATTTTGTATTTCCACAACAATGAATGAAAGTTCCTATAGATGCACATCTTTGTCAGCATTTAGTGTTCTTGGTTATTCTTGAATTTGGGCATTCTGATAGGTGAGTAATGGTATCTCATTGGTTGTTTATTTGTTTTAAATATATTTTTATTGACTTCCGAGAGGATGTGAAAAGGAGAGATTGAAACATCAATGATGAGAATCATTGATTGGCTGTTTCCTGAATGCCTTCCACCGGGGATAGAGCCTGCAACCCGGGCATATGGCCTGACTGGGAATTGAACTGTGACCTCCTCGTTCATAAGTCAACACTCAACCACTGAGCCTTGCCAGCTGGGCTTTGTTGTTGTTTTAATTTGCATTTCCCTGATAACATATGTGGAGCATCTTTTTTGTTGTTTTTAATCCTCACTTGAGGATATTTTTCCATTGAGTGGGAGGGAGTGTAGGAGACAGTGAGAGAGACACATCAATTGGTTGCCTCACACACTAGTCCTGTCCAGGGCCCGGGATCAGGCTAACTCCCTAGTGGTGCGTGTCCTCGACCAGAATTGATCTTGGGGCCTTTCAGTCCATGGGCTAACGCTCTATTCACTGAACCAACCTGGCTAGAGCTGTGGAGCATTTTTTAATATGCTTATCTGCCATCTGGATATCTCTGGGGAATTGTCAGTTTAGGTCTTTACCCATTTTTTAATAGATTGTTTTCTTATTGTTGAGTTTTAAGAGTTCTTTGTATATTTTAGATAATATTCTTTTATCGGATATACCTTTTGCAAATATTTTCTCCTAGTCTGGGGCTTATCTTCCTTGGTCTATTTTTAATAATTCACTATGGGGGGTAGTGGTAGAGGGGATGAAAAAGGTGAAGGGATTAATAATAGTTAAAAAAAAAAAAAAAAAAAAAAAACTTGCTCAGCCATCCAAGCTAGGGTGGTTCAGTGATTGACCGTTGACTTGTGAACCAGGAGATCAAGATTCAATTCCAGGTAGGACACATGCCCAGGTTTCAGGCTCCACCCCCAGTGGGGCTGAGCAGGGGACAGCAGATCAATGATTCTCTCTCATCCTTGATGTTTCTGTCTCTCTCCCTCTCCCTTCCTCTCTGAAAACAATAAAGAAAATTTAAAAAATAAATTTAAAAAACCACCTCCTAGACACAGAAAACACTATGGTGATTACTAGAGGGAGATACATGGTGATGGAAGGAGACTTTGGGTGGTGAACACACAATACATATGTATTATAGAATGTACACCTGAAATTTATATAAATTTATTAACCAATATCACCCCAATAAATCCAATAAGAAATTCATTTTGAACAACAAAAAAATATGCTTGTCATTTTATATCTAACCAGTAAGTATTCTCACATCTGTATATACATGCCTAAGAGAAAATATTTAACTCTTAAAGTACAGATGTCATCTGGAGCTAAGATAGTCTCTTAGCCCACAGAAGTAATTAGTCACATATATAATTTTAAAAAACATATGGAAGCTATGCCTGACTTTAATGAAGATTTTAAGAACCTTGGCCAGAGTCAATGTAGTTTTAGAACTCTAGCTAAAATGTTTAAAAACACTCAAGAGAAAATTAAAGAAATCTATTCTCATGGACTAGTGTTAAGAATTGACTTACATCAGCAGGACTGAAAATTCAGAGGGAGAATTTTAGTACTCCACTCAGTATTCTAGCAATCACCTTTGTATTTTCCAACTCACCTACCCTTGAAGACACCCCCTTTCTTACCACTTTCAGAGGAAGTTTCCCCTTAGGGTCTAGAATCCATTCATCGAACTGCTCCTGCAGAGCCTGTTGACGTAGATTGGCCACCTGGACTTTGACTTGGTTTATGTATTCTCTTTGTTCTTGTTTCTCTTTAATCTTCTCCTTCATCCTAGATACTCTGAAGGATGTAGAAATAGAAGACGTGTTAAGATCATTGGATTTGATTCAGATTGTTTAAACGGCAGAACCACAAGAGTTCAGAACCTCATAGAAACGTTGAACCTGTCTTTTCTTCATCAAATTATCCTCAATTCAAGCCTGCAGCACATTAATCATAGGCTGTCTTCTACTGTTATTTGACTTTTTATAAAGGTAGGCCTTATTTTATCCAACTAAATACTATACTTAAAAAGTACTAAGAATAGCCCTAGAAGCTGCCATATACACTCTAAAAATAAGGTTGAATGTACCCTAAGGCCTTAAGGTGGTGGGGTGTCTCTCTTCCCTGATGCAGAAATCATGTGGAATGAGTCTGATTCAAGATCTAGGAAGGGCGCCTGAAAGATGCATTTATAACAAGCATCTCAAGTAGTTCTGATACCTTGGACCAAACTTTTGATTTCTGTTTAGGAATATATGTTGCCAGATTCCTTTATCTGGCCAGAGTTAAATACTTTGACAGCCCCTGAGCACAATAGTTATCCTTGGAGTCAGACAGAGATGTATTACCCAGGTAGAAAATGGGGGAAGAATTGTGATTTTAATTGTTTCTATGTTCATCATCCTGACTAGGACTTCAAAACCCCCAAATTGGTTTTGATTGAAATACCAAAATAGTTCAAAATAACAAAAATAAGTACTGGTTTCAAATTCAATTTTGCAATAATGTTTGAGGCAGGTCTTCATCTTTTATGAAAGACTAAAGTAATCTGACAGACTTTAAAAGGCAAAAGGCTTTTCAGAGAGAACTGGCATTTGGATACTCCTAATACTAAAAAACAAAAACAAAAAACAATCCTAAAATCTAAGTAATTACTTTGTGGTCAGATAAGATCTTCAAAATTCTCTAGAAAAATAAACTTGGAAGTTTGAAACCCAAAATCTCAATGTGGTTCAATAGTGTAGAAGATTCTGTAGTGATTTAAAAGTGCTGGAAGATTCATTAGTATTTCAAAGGAAGTGCTATTATAATTTCCTGTGATACAACTGCTAACCAGCCAAACCTCTACCACTTATCTCAGAGCCCACAGTCCCTTCCTTTGCTGGCTCTCTGGCTCTTCCACTTCTCTTTCTCCCTCTGCTACTTTATCTCCTTCTCTCTTTCTACTTCTTTCTTTCCCCTCTCTATAAAACATTCTCCTAAATGTCTGTCTTCTTGCCTGCATGGCTCTCTATTTTGTGTCTTTCTTCTAGCCTTTTCTCATTCACTCACTAAGTCAGTCATTTATTCACTCAATATACAAACATTTATTGAGCTCCTACTCTGATTTTGCTATTATAAAGCTTAGAGTCCAATACAGAACAGTTAAGTAAACAATATTATGTAATAAGTACTGAGTGTCTCCAGATCTTTATATGTATTGATCACTGCAACACAAAAGGGGATTAACAAAATTGGGTTTCGGTCAATTACCCAAAATTAAGACATATCTCATAATAATCTTATGTATGTAAAAAAACAAAACAAGCACAAGAAAAATAACACACACAAAACTTACATAATGAGAGCAAGATTAAGATAGGTAAATTAATTTATAATGACATAGTATTAGAACTAAGCTGAACTCTAAAGGATTGGTAAGATAGCTAAAGAGGAAGAAGAATGATAATAGGCAGAGGAAATGACATATGTTAAGACCCTGAGGTGGAAAGAAGCATAATATGCTAGGTACCTTTGATCTAGTGGCTCCAAACTTTGAAGCTAGCCTTGATGGTGATGTTTTCCTATTTCCTAATGAGGTGGTTGAGTTTCAATTCAATATTGGAAGGAGAAAGAATATTCCCCACTGGGGGACTGAGAAGCATCTGTTTTGATGGTATAGCACTGAGCAAGGCAGAGGATATATATGACCCAAGGCAGTTGCATGTAAGATCATCAGCCATAAAACCAAGGCAGTTGCATGTAAGGTTTGCAGTCAACTCTACCTTAGTCTTTTTAACATTAGTAATATTTTATGCCACTGAAGAAGAACTATAGATTCATACAACGTCAAGTTGCAGGTGTGTGTGTGTGTGTGTGTGTGTGTGTGTGTGTGTGTGTGTGTGTGTAGTATTGTGATAATATTCAGGGAGACAAGGATTTCTTAGTCTATAAATACTAGGTTCTAATATTGGATATATACATATACAACAGAATGTAGTTTCTAAATTAATATGAACTAAATCTATATACCTTATTATTATGTTTAAGGTTGAACAAAAGTAGAAACTGTTTGGAAAAAGTCCTATCACATACATTTGGGTATAATAGTTATTTAAATACTATATTTTAAAAAAGCATTTTCTTATCTACTCACTTTTAGCATAATCTATTTTATTGAAATGACAAAATGATATTCAAAACAGATTGACAAGATAACTAATATTAGTAATATCACTTCAGGGGAAGCATCTATGGGATTTCCTAGCATAATGTAAGCACAAGAGTTTGGCTTGTAAAGAGATGGCAGCTGGTGTGGTGTATGAGCAGACTGACATCTGCCTAGGAAGTCACTGTCTCCTGGCAACTAAGGAAGCCCCATATCCAGAATGAAACATTCCCTCGGTCTTGCCAAGTCCTAGTGCTGGCATCTTGTAAGGATGAGTTAGACATTTTGGTGTCTGTATGTGTGTTTTTAAACACAAAAAAGTAAGTCCTTTGAAGTAAACCTTCAAACCCTTTGCAGACACCACATTCTAACAGAAACACATACAACATGTTTGTCACATAATCTGCATAAGCTCCTTGAACACTGCATATGAGGGAGTTATTATAAGCAAAATAAAGACATGTGTCTCTTTCCCTTTTAGTTTTCACTTGGTTTGTGTTTCCTTAATGCTTGAGCACTTATTATGGCTTATTTATCTCCTTTAGGTAGCTGTAGTAGAGAAAGTAATTTCTGTGTAATGTTTCTTTGTGATTCTTTCTCTTCCTGGAGTAAGTGTTTCATTATTAGTTAAAAGGCTTATAAAGAGGACTACAGGAAAAATGTCCAAAAGGTATCTGAAGGTTTATCATAGATACATAGTGATTATGAAATAAGCAAAGGATATAGGGACCAGAGGTCATTACCAAGCCAGAACTGGATATACATCGCTATTAACTATCACACAAAAAGATCCAAGTTTTTGCCCTGGATCCTTTAGACCTACTTCCTGGTTCATTTAAATTCTCATTCTCGGATCAGGACTGTATATCCTGATTTGGTGGAGAAAAGAGAGAACATTGATAGTGTAATAGGTCCCATTTCTCTGAAGCAGGGTGACATTCTAACATTAATAATTGTTCTCTATAATCCTTATTTTCACTGTTTAATTTTTTCTTTTCTTTTGAATACATCATACTGTAAAGTTGACCTTTTTGGTGCATAGTTGTACAAATTTCAACACATGTAAATATACCTAACCATCATCATAGTCAGGCTATTGAAAATTTGTAATCCTATTTTAAGAGAAAAATTTTTTCATTATCAATTCACAAGGCAGTAGTAACTTTCAGAATATGTATTCTCAAACACTGGAGGAACCAACAATCTGAGGGGGAAGATGGGGAAAAAAAAAAAAAAAAAGTAGAAAAGCAAAATGAGACAAACCTAACTTCCTTATTGGTTTTACAAAATTACATGTAAGGATGAAAATCAACTTTAATTCTATACCTCTCTTCCAGGAAGCCTGATGAAAAGCAATAAAAATATTGTATACGTAAAACTTACAAACAGCAACAATATTTTATTTCTCAGAAAGTGGCTGTCACTTTAAATATTATTCCAAATCAGTAAAGAGTATCTTTTCTATCTATTTTCCTTTGATACCAAATAGAGATGAATCCCTTTTTGTTCTGGGAAACAGGCAGATGAAAGCTTCAGCTCAGGCTGAGGCAAATGAACATTTTAACATAATCACCAGAAGATAAAATCTTGAAAAACCAAGTAAAAATGTTGTCTTTATTCTTGAAAATAAGTAAGAAAACTCTCATTTCCAAAATGGACTTCTCCAAAGCTCTCTAATGGGTTGAGAACAACACAACAGTGATATAGTTCAGAGAATTTAAAAGCAGAACAGTTTTTGTAAAGATGCTGGGTATCCAAGCTTCAAGTCAGTAGACATTGTGCTGTTTTAAGGCATCCCTGGGATTTCTGAATAGTCTGCAAATGCCTGACACTGTCACTTTTTGACCTATAGATCTTGGATTTTTACCAGAGAGGGATGAAGCCCTGATCCTGACAATCCAGGAAAAAAAAAAAAAAAGAAGAAGAACCTTTGATTATTTTAACTCTTTCATGAAATTCCTAGAGCATAGTGCTCCAGTAGAAATTAGGGCTCTTATCAAACCTCAAATGACCCTGAATATCAAACTCCTTGTTCAAGAAACATCAATGAAATGAACTAATCTTCTTGTGTCATGCTATTGATTGGCAATCAAGCCTAGACCAAAGTCCTACTCTGCCTATATCTACGCTTACTGTAAGTGTTAAAAAATGCCTACTTTTTTGTACTGACTGAGATTTACACAGCCCTAACAGGACAAAGGATTTGTTAATATATTGATTTACAGCCTTGACACCAATTCCTAAATTTAAAGTTTTGTGGTGTGTTTTTTTTTAATGGAAACAAAGCTAAATACAAATCAAATCTATTGTTCTGCAAGAACAGATGGTGAACACAAATGTTCTTTAAACTGTTTATTAAATTTAATGATACTGCTTCCTGCTGTTGTTGGAACTTTCCACTAGTACTAAAAGTTCCTTAATTTGGTTTCTCTAAATAATTGGTCTTAAAAATGTAGTGTTCATATATAATCTCCAGTAGAGCTTGTTTTAAATGCATTCCTAGGATTTCTGATTCAGAAGATTTAAGGAAGAAGATAGAAATCTTTACTTTTAACCAAGCACCCAGATAATCCTGATGTCTTGGATAGGCAACGATGCTCTAAGAAAGACTGTTTCAACTGAAATAAAAATTTCATGTCTATACATAAAGTAAAAGAAGAGTTCTGTAAATATCTCTTACTTTATTCCAAAGGAATAGATGTACCTAATTCCAAAAAAACCTATCATTTTGAAGTTTCTAGTTTGTTGCTTACCACAGGAAGGACACAAAAGCAAGTCACAAAGAATTTTAGGTTCCTTTATAAATTTAAGTATAAGTTTCCATGCCAGAATACATTCAAAGGTAAATGGGGAGATTCAGGAAGAGATTACAAGTATCTTAATTGTTTTTTTTTAGGTTTTTTAAAACTTAAAAGATATTAACTAGACCAAGGGTCAGCAAACTACAATTTGGGGGGCAAATCTGGCCTGCTGTCTTGTTTTGTACAAGTCAAAAGCCAAGATTGTTATATTTTAAAGTATTTTTTAAAATAACAAAAATAATATATTGTGGCATATAGAAATTCAAGACATTAAAATTTTAGTATCCATAAATAGACTGTTTTTTTTTTTGTTAATCCTCACCCAAGGATATTTTTTTCATTGATATTTTTGAGAGAGTGAATGGGAGATAGAAGAGAAAGAGAGAGACAGACAGACAGAGAGGTGAGATCTGCACCTAAGGCACATATCCTTGACTAGGAATCAAACCCATAACCTGAATCGGGCAGCTGATGCTTTACCACTGAGCCATACCAGCCTGGGCCATAAATAAAGTTTTATTACAACATAGACATGCTTATTCATTTACATATTGTATGGCTATTTTTTTTTTAGAATAAAAGCAGAATTGAGTAGTTGACTCAATTTTCCATCAAAAAGCTTTTAATTTTTATGTAATTAAATTTATCAATATTTTCATGATTCAAAAGCTTTTTCTCTGATTATAAAGGAATTAAATCCCTAGTTTCTTCTGGTCTTTTAATGGTTTTTTTATGTACACATACTTAATAGGATATATTCTCTGGTCCAAAGGGCTGAAAAATAAATATAAAAACTAATTTAGTAGTTCTATTATTAGTAGGCTTGTTGGTATTATTATTTTGAAGCTATCATATCTAATAAAAGAGAAACATGCAAATTGACCACACGTCCACTATGCCCACAAGCCACATGCACCAGCCAATCAGGAGCAAGTATGCAAATTAACCCAACAAATGTGGTGGTTAATTTGCATACCCAGGTGCAGAGCGAAGACTGAAGACAGTGTAGAAGGAAGCCAAGCTCTGCAGAAGGGAGCGAAGTTGCTGAGAAGCAAGCAAGCGGGGCAGCAGAGAAGGGAGGAAAGCAGGCGGGGCGGCGGAAACTGCCACAGCCTCTAGTTTTATGTAAATTATAAGATAAAGCAAACAAGTAGTTCTGTCAATCTTGTTAGGAACCGAGATTTTCAGTGTGAGAAAAAAAAAAAAAGAGAGAGAGAGAGAGAAAGATACAAATATAAAATCAAGGCATTAGGTAAAAATCCTGAAACATATTTGACATGAAATTATTAATATTTTAAAATTATATTTTAGTCATGAAAGAGCCTAGAAACAATGGCAATACGATACTTATGAGCATTTCTAGCTCTTCAGTGAATGATCTTCACCAAAATGAACTAAGAATCCTTAAAAATGCATGAAATTTTCAAAAACTAAGTATGTCAGAAGAACTCAGGCACCAAAGTTGGGTCAAGTTGAACATCAAAAAGAAAAAAATGAAAGAAAGAAGAAAGAAAGAAAGAAAGAAAGAAAGAAAGAAAGAAAGAAAGAAAGAAAGAAAGAAAGAAAGAAAGAAAGAAAGAGAGAGAAGAGAGAGAGAGAGAGAGAGAGAGAGAGGAGGAAGGGAGGGAGGGAGGGAGGGAGGAAAGAAGGAAGGAAGGAAGGAAGGAAGGAAGGAAGGAAGGAAGGAAGGAAGGAAGGAAGGAAGAAGGAAAGAAGGAAAGAGAAAGAAAGAAAGAAAGAAAGAAAGAAAGAAAGAAAGAAAGAAAGAAAGAAAGAAAGAAAGAAAGAAAGAAAGAAAGAAAGAAAGAAAGAAAGAAAGAAAGAGAGAGAGAGAAAGAGAGAGAGAGAGAGAGAGAGAGAGAGGAGGAAGGGAGGGAGGAAGGGAGGGAGGGAGGGAGGGAGGAAAGAAGGAAGGAAGGAAGGAAGGAAGGAAGGAAGGAAGGAAGGAAGAAGGAAAGAAGGAAAGAGAAAGAAAGAAAGAAAGAAAGAAAGAAAGAAAGAAAGAAAGAAAGAAAGAAAGAAAGAAAGAAAGAAAGAAAAAACTATATTCTGAAAATCGGTAATTAAAAGGAAAGAATTAAACATTTATTCTAACTTAACATTAGAAAGTATGTTTCAATGTAACCAAATATATAGCCACCAAGTAGGATTTGTTTTAGGAATTACAAGATAGCTCAAAATTAGTAAATCTAATAAAGTTCATTATTAATGAATCCAGGCTGAAAATCAAATAATCATCTACATAGGTGTTGAAAAGGTATTTGACAAAATCAACAATCATTCTTGATTTTTCAAAATCACTCTATAAGATAGAAATTAGGTGAATTTTTTCTAATGTGATTAAATATACCTTTTTTAGATCAAATGGAGTCAAGTTATGGTAGAATAAAAGCAGAATTGAGTATCAACTCAATTTTTGAATAAACATGGCTATGTTATAATGAAATGGTAATTAACATAAGAGTCATTTCTACTTAAAGTCATAAGCAAAACAAATATGCCCATATCACCGCTCTCATATTGGAGGTAATAGCCAATGCAGTTAGGCAAGAGAAATATGCTAAAAATACAAAAACTAAAAAGGAAGAAGAAAACTCCTATTGCTTGCAGACAGTATGGTTGCCTCCCTAGAATATCCAAGGAATCAATTAAAAATTACTATAAACAATAAGAGAATTTAATGAGGTAGTAAAGTACAAAAATATACAGAAATTAATAGTTTTTGTGTACTTAAAGTATATCTAGATAGGAAGTATAACAGAAAAAAACTCATAATGGCAACAAAATAATAATAAAATAACTAGTATTAAAACTAATAAAAGATGCAAGCCTATATAAAAAATGTAAGACAACACTGATGGATACAAAATATAATGAGCAAATGGGAAGATATGTTCTCAAATAGAAACACTTTCATTATCAGAGGTGTAAATTTTTTCCAAGCTAATGAATAAATTTAATCAGATTTCAATAAAAATTCCTATGAAGTTTTTTTTGTGTTTTTTTTTTTTTTTGGTGTTCTCCCTCTCCCACCTTTTAAGTAGATGAATCAATTCTAAAGTTCATATTAAAAAGTAAACACACACAAGAACAGACAGGAGTGATCAGAAAAAAATAACAAATAATGGGGACCAGCACAGTCAGACTAATTAGAATATACTCAAAAGTCTCAATAAAGCAGAGTGCTGGTGCATAAAAAGTGAGATAGACCAATAATAGGACAGAGAAGTCCAAAAATACACTACAAAATATATAGGAATTTAGTAGTAAAGGTTCATTACAAACAATGGGACAAGGATAAGACTATTCAACAATTATTATTGGGATCACTACATAGCCATTTGGAAAATGATGAAGTTGGATCCATATCTTAATCTTACCCTAAGATATTGATAAGTTCCAAATGGGTCAATATTTAAAATTAAAATATAATTTCATAAGAAAAGATAGGATTATTATTTTAATATCTAAAATACAACAATGTCTCAAAATATGAAAACCATAAAATAAAAGTGAGTAAATTCAACCATGTAGAAATAAAAAACTAATCTTTATGATGAAAGATAAATGGCAGGTGAAAAACAGAGGAAAATGTAACTTGTTCACATGTTTTCATATAAAAGAAAGAAAATCAAGAATCATATTTACATTTGCTTATGTATGTATAAAGAAATTTTGGAAGGATCCATTGAAAACTAAAAAGAAGTTATTTAAGGCAGGGGTAGAATACTGGGTACATGGAGGATAAGAATGGGAAACTTTTCATTGTATATCTATATATTTTGGCTATTATATCAGGTGAATATGTTGTTTATCTGAAAAGTTAAAATTTGAAAAAGTTCCTACTCTCAACTCGTGGTTTACTTTCCACAGCAAAGAGGACATTTGAGATCCTAGTGAGATAACTAAATCTGTGAATACAAGAAACTGAATAAATACACTTCTTAAGTCTTCATTAGTGCCTCATAAATAGTGAGGCATATAGCAGTAGCTTAATAAATACTTTTAAAAATAGAAGTCAGCTATAGAAGAAATGGGCTCAAGAAACCAATTACAGCGAGAGATCTGGGGAACTAAAGGTGGGAAAGGCTCAGGCATACTCCATAGAGAGAACTGCCTTATTTGAAGTCCTTTTAAGTTTGTATGAGTATATTATTGTTCTATGTACTTTTCCATATAAGGAGCTATATCATCAACTGAAAATATAACAAATTGTACCTGTTGCACACAGTGTTGGTAATATGTATCTTCAGATTTTCTGTGACATTTTTCATCTCCCTCTGATAACCAGTCATTCCTGCATCTTTGATATAAAGAGGATTGTTTCTCATTAAATATTCCCCCAAATAAATAATTGGATCAAACTTAGTTGGAATATCAGCTTCTGACAAAAGCTTCTTTTTTTCCACTTGCATTAACATATTTTCCATTCCAACAACTAAGGTGGGTAGAAGTTTGTCAAGCAAATATGCACGAGTATTCAGAGTCATATGGTCAATATTAAACCATTCTTTGGCCAAAGTATCCTTAGGGATTTTTTTCTCAGCCTTTTTGTCTAGTTCTTTTTTCAGTTTATCCTTAACTATTATTCTCTGCTGCATAGCTTGAGCTCTTGCCTCCACTCTTTCAAAAAGATTTTTCTTCCATGGTTGCTCTAGCTTTGAATCCAGTATAGTTTGATCTAAATGGAAAACCACACTTGCAGGTTCTCTGATTACAACATTCTTTGAGATTTCGATGTTTGGTTTCTTTTCGGAATCAGCTGAGATCTTTGGCTTCTCCTCCAGGTTTGATTCTGAGGGTGGGGGGAGAAATGAAATATAAGGAATATTAGAAGTACATTTTAATATATGCTAGTTTAGAAAATTACTAGGAGAAAACATCTCTTTAAATAGTGTATTCAAACACAGTTGAAAAATAACAGAAAGTCAGACAACAGGGACTATACCCATAAGGACATTTATTGTTGACTTAATCAGAAATCAATCAGCAGCTCAGTGTTTTTCATTAAGTACCTCGCCTGTTTCATTATTCTTTATTCATTTTTTTGTGCTTATATCTCAGGATCATAAAATAGCTATTGCAGCTGCAGACAGCTCTTCTTTACAGGAGAAAAGGATTGAGAACAAAGAGGACTTCTTCTCTTGAGATTCTGTTTTATTATCCAAGAAGAAAAAAATCCAAGATCCCTGCTCAAACACTTTCCTTTACATTTCATTGACCCTAGTCAGGTTACATGTCTGCCCCTAGACCAATAGCTGGTAAAAGGAAAAGGGACTACTATGACTAGTGTTGACTGATCATAATTTATTCCTTCATGTCAGAGTTTACGTCAAGTTATCTGATATTAGATATTTCCATCTTCTGTAATATTGAGGTTTAGTTGCCAGGCAAAAAGGAAATGTCTGCTGACTGGACAGTGAAAATAGTCTACCACACACATATATTTAAATATATTTCTTACCACTTTCATATTTCCAGCCTCTTTCATGTTTTCATTTTTAAAATGTAGTATGGAGATATTAGACCAAGATAGTGAACTGAGAACAAGCACCTACTACTCACTCACTACTAAAATCTCTACAAATGATAGAAAAGGTTGTGTGTGTGTATCCCATATAATAAAAGATTAATATGCAAATTTACTGAACAGCAGAATAACCAGAATGCCTGCAGCCCTTCTCCCAGCAGGCCCCACCCCTGAGCACCCTCCCCCCTCCTATTTGGGGGCCAAGCCGCTGTGGCCCCTTGTCCTAGCTGGCCCCACCCACAGCCACTCACCCCAGCCTGCCTGCCCCCGATGGTGGAATGGGATGGCTGGACCCCACCAATGCACGAATTCATGCACCGGGCCTCCAGTTTTAATATAAGTATAAGAATGCTGGCATTCATGAAGGAGTCCTTCAATAGGCAGAAATTTTGAGTGTCTCTGAAAAATGTAAGGTGAGTGGGAGCAGAATGATTAAATAAAATATAGGACTAAAAATATAAAGGAAAAAATATATACTGTAAAATTTGAGAGCAGCTTTGAGACACCCCAAGTTTAAAGAATGTAGATATGAATTCATCCTTGCAATGGCATATAGTGGTTTAGAATAGAGAGGCAGGAAAATGCCTCCACACACACAGAGAAAATAAATTGCTGACAGACTTCACTGACTGCACATCTTACCTCTCAGCCACATTCACTGGCAGTAGGCGACAGAAAACAAAAACTCCATCCACAAAAGAGCAAACAGGGATTCCCAAATGAAAATGGAAGCACACACGTAAGAATCATGACTAAAGAAAACTATCTCCATGACTAAATTCAACCAATGCAAAAATTAATAATACCTAAGGAAATAATATTAATAGAATAAATGTAACGAGTTTCTAAAAGAATTATAGTCAACTCGAGGCCCAGTACACGGATTTGTGCATTGGTGAGGTTCCTTGGCCTGGCCTGTGGGGATTGGGCTGAAAACAGCTCTACAACATCCCCCAAAGGAAGCTGGATTGTGAGAGGGCACCGGCCAGGCCGAGGTACCCCACCAGTACACAAATCTGTGAACTGTCCCTCTAGTATGCATATAAGATCTTTGGTTAATCTCTTCATGCCCCCCCCCCCCTTCCCTCTGAGATTCATCAGTCTTTTCCATGTTTCCATGCCTGTGTGTTGAGTGTTTACCTCCTGGTGGTCAGAGTGCATCATAGCTACCGGCAAATGGTCGAATGGTCGAACAGTTGGCTGGTCATTTAGGCTTTTATATATATAGATGTCTGTTGTGAGCCATCAGAGTTGAGACAAGCGACTCCGTCTTAAGGAAATAGAATTAAGTTCCTTCTAGCAGAAGTTATGCAGTGCCCTGAGGGTTTGGCCAGAAGATAAGATTAACCTGCCACTTAACATCTTTGCAACTTCCCCTTCCTGATCCTCCCCCATAGATAGCCCAGCCTTGGAATGTTACACCTTGGAATGTTACACCGCCCTGGCAGTTAGCCAATCCTGTGTTGCCAGATACCTTACCACCTTGCCACTCAGTGCCTAAACCAATTGTACACTGCCAAAAACCCCTCTGCATAGGCAACCCTGCCCCCCTTTGTTTCTGCTGTATATATACAGCCATTTCAAAAAATAAAGTCGAGGCTTGACCAGAACTTTGTCTTGCCTCCGTTCTTCGCGTTCCTTGTTTGTTCCATTCTCTTAGGTGGTTTCTGCATACCCCCGTTGTTGCCCCGCGGGTCGGGACAGATGTCCTCACAGCAGAGAAGTTAAAGAAAATGAAAAGAATGTTATAGACCTGGTCAAGTGGTTCAGATGGTTGGACTTTCGTTTCATACACTATAAAGAATGTGGGTTCAATTCCTGATCAGAGCACATATCCAAGTTGTGGATTCGATTCCCAGTCATGGCACATACAGGAGGCAACGAATCAATGTTTATCTCTTACATTGATGTTTCTCTCTCTTTTCTCTCCCTTCCTCTTTCTCTAAAATCAATAAAAACATATATCCTCAAGTGATGATTTTTTAAAATGTTGTAAGTGCTATGGAAAATAAAAGAAGAACACTTGGATACCTAGTGCTCAGATCTTGGTTGCTAATATCATTCTCAAATTTTTATAAATCAGGACTCATTGGAGAAGTGGCTAACTTAATGACTGGGACAGGAAATATATATATGATGAACCTGGAGCATCTTGTAGTGCCAGAAAATAAGGAAGGTTCAAACAACTCTGCAATGATTGTGATATGTCAAAGGGACACAGCAGCCATAGAAAGAGCTCCTAATGGCCAAAGATGAAATAATTTGAGCAAAGAAATGAAGTAATATTAGATTATAATCGAGTATAAAAGAAATATTTATAAATCCATACTTTTATAAACAAATACTTGAATAAATAAGTAAATGGGGAAATAGACAAATGTCCTTCCTGTGCAAAAGTATTAAAAAAGTATGCCCTCATACCTTAGAGTATAATGCTCTAATAGGTAGAGTATAATGCTCTTATCTTTAAATGTGGGTTGTGTATAAGTGACTTCTTCCCAAAAGTAGGGTATGGAAATGAATAACTTTACAGTGGACAAACCTGACAAAGCTATCTCAGTCAGATGAGAAAAATTAACATCAACAATACAAAGTCATACTAATAGCATATATGGTATACTTGATAGGATGTGATAAGGATAGCATTTTACCTCTGTAGTCTTCCTCCCCCAAACCCATAATCCTAACTTTATCATGATTTTTTTTAAAGTCTTCAGACCAGTCACAATTAGGGACATTCTATAAAAATACTTGATAGTACTCCTTAGCACATGTTCTATTTCTCTGCAGTATGTGGCATGGTTGACTACTTCTTCTCCACTGAGATAGATATATTAATCCTCACCCCAGGATATGTTTATTGATGAGAGAGAGAGAAAGAGAGAGAGAGAGAGAGAGAGAGAGAGAGAGAGAGAGAGAAATGAGGAAAATATTGATTGGCTGCCTCCCACACCCACCCCAACTGGGGATCAAACCTGCAACCCAGGTATGCTCTGACTGGAATTGAACCCACAACCTATTTGATATACCAGATGATGCTCCAAGCTGACCTCTATTGATAGTTATTTTTGTCTTCCCAAATTTCTTACTTAATCAATTTGGTTAGATAATACTGACCTCACCCATTTATTTTTTTATTTTATTTATTTATTTAAATATATTTTTTATTTATTTCAGAGAGGAAGGGAGAGGGAGAGAGAGATAGAAACATCAATGATGAGAGAGAATCATCAATCGGCTGTCTCCTTCACACCTTTTCCTGGGAATTGAGCCCACAACCTGGACATATGCCCTAACCAGAATTGAACCCAGACCCTTCAGTCCACAGGTCGATGCACCATCCACTGAGCCAAACCAGATAGGGCACCTCACCCATTTAGATCCAGGGATAGATGGTGATCCAAGCCTGACCACTGTCAAGATCACCAAAAATAAGGAAATCTGAGAGACTGTCAGAAAAGTCTAAGTAGTCTCTAAAGAAATCCTTCTAAACAATGTCTTATATCCAATAGTAGATAGTATTTATGAACCTCCCTCCCAAGCTTATATTTTCTTTTTGGCCAATTCTCTTATTTTAATATGGGGAAGTGCTCTCCTTTTATATCTCGGTTGGATTTAGAAACAAATTGACCATTTTTTGTGTGTGGATGGGGAAATTCTGTTTTATAACACTGCTCATTAATATACATTGTTTATATTTTTATTTTAAATAAGTGTTTAAGAGCAGTTCTTGAAAGTGTGCAGGTACTAATGCATTCTCTCTGCTGCTTAACCTTTCCAGCATAATGCAAGACATATATTCCTTCTCCTGCTTTAAAAATAGTGCTACAGATGTATAGCAAATTAATATCTACTCAACTGCCACAACCCATTATAAACTCCTACATGAACTAGGGCATTCTCAATCTTCATTATAGTGCATTGATCGGCAAACTAATTAGTAAGCAGAGCCAAATATCAATAGTACAACAATTGAAATTTCTTTTGAGAACCAAATTTTTTAAATTTAAACTTCTTCTAACGCCACTTCTTCAAAATAGACTCGCCCAGGCCGTGGTATTTTGTGGAAGAGCCACACTCAAGGGGCCAAAGAGCCGCATGTGCTGACCATGGTTATAGCCTATTAGTGATCCTCCAGTATTCTTAGATACTATAAGTTGCTAAGCAATAATACCGGTGCTTACATTGTCCCCCCTGATACGTAGAAGAGAAATTCCTTATTCATATTGTGCGATGTGTATTTGGTTACAACTCTAGTCAAACACTTCTCTCGTTGGGCCATAAAACCAAGAAAAGAAAAGGAGGTACAGCAATAGCAGGGTCAATAAATCGGGATTCTGATTAAGCCTATATACAACTGTCTTTTGATTGAGTGACCTCTGAATTCAAGGATCATAAATTATACAGCACTGCCCCAAGGACAAATTAACTCAAAGATTCATTTGAATATGGTTTCAAACAGATACTTTTTAAAAAGAACAGCAGGTCTGTGTTTGGACATTCCTAAACCTTTTACAGATGTTTTTATTCATGTATACATTCATTCAGTAAATAATTATTGATGTCTCACTTTGTGCCTAGCACGATGCTAAGCACTGAAATTCTATTTCAGAATTTTCTTCCTAAACTCTTCATAGAATTAAAAGCCTTTCATACACACCAACATACACACCTTCACCCTTATATTAATCCACCTTCTAACATACAAAGACCTATTCATTTACACACTATGGGCGTAAATGCTTTCTACTAAATAAGTAGGGACACAAAAGAATTCCTTATTCATATTGTGCGAAAGATCCAGCCTTACAAGTGACTTTAATCATTTCCTGCACTTAGTGCATAGCCCATTGCTGAGCATGGCCTTAGTACAACCCTATTTAAGGACATAAATAGGAATGAATTATAATCCACATTATAATAAGCCTTAGTAGACTCTTTCTTCACAAGAAGGCATGTAACATTAGTGGGACTGGATCCTGATTAAATTAGTGAAAATTGACCCAGCAGGGTTATTCCACTAGATGTATGATGTTCTCTTTCAACACAGTCCCTGTCTGAAACTCAGCTGGCTTGGTCTTATCAGGATTTCTTAACATTGCTACATAATGTAGAAAGACTACTGTGAAAGCAAAGGAAAAGAAACAAGTACTACTACAATGAAATTCAGTAGCTATAGGAAAAGGTATTTTTCTACAAAACTTTGTTTATCCTGAGGCTATGTAATGAGAACAGAGCTGAGCAAACTGATAGATTAAAAAAAAAAAAAAAAAGATTTCTCAAAATGCAAGTTAAGCTCATAGTCTAAAAAGTAAAACAATTAAGACAAAGAAGTGAGAAATTCATATTGTATATTTAACCACAGTGTTTTCTATGTGAATATATATATTTGAGCACATTCTGAAAGCTGCGTGGCAAGATGACATCATTTTGACAAATATGTAATAAGGATAAAAACACTTCCTTTGACATGTTGAAATTGCAATAACAGTTCCTCCTCTCACGTCTTACACACACACACACACACTCACAAAGGGAGATTCAGAGTATTAGATTTAATTATGACTGATCACTGAACAAATTAAGTATATTTCATTGCATTTAATATTGCAACAAGGAACTGCAATGTTTTCAGTATATATCATGTTCTGGGATAGGCTTACACAAACAAAAAACACTTCCTTCTGTACATGGAAAAGCAATAACAGAAATTGAAAGTATAAGAACAGGAAAAACCATAATCTATTGATTAATATGTTTTCTAGAGAGACAATAAGTTACATTAAAGAATACATATGTGAAATTTTGCAGGTGCAAACTTGGCCATAACTGATTAATGTGAACACCTAATTAAATTTATAACAAGTTACCTAGATCACAGTTTTGTTTGGCATGTTTAAATTTTTTAAAAAATATATTTTATTGATTTTTTTACAGAGAGCAAGGGAGAGAGCTAGAAATGTCGATGAGAGAGAAACATCGACCAGCTGCCTCTTGCACACCCCCTACCGGGGATGTGCCCTCAACCAACGTACATGCCCCTGACCGGAATCGAACCTGGGACCTTTTAGTCCGCAGACCGACGCTCTACCACTGAGCCAAACCGGTTTTGGCTGTTTGGCATGTTTAAAAGGAAAGAGTTCACCTGGCCCAAGTGATTAAGGTAAAGACAAAGTATATGTATGAAATAGTGGTGGTAGAGTATGGGAGTGAGAAGGAAGTGAAACCAAACGACTGGTATCAGGGTGAGGGGAAGACAGATGGAGAGGGACTTGCAAAGAAACTTTTTAAAAAAGTTAGTAATGCTGTGAAAATTGTTCTAAGTTTACAATAACAACAGAACAAATGTTGAAAAATTTGGTTCTTAATGTATAAATATTAAAATGTGTATTAATAAGAAGAAATAGTCAACTGTTGCTTAAGTTGGTTAAAAACACAGAGAAACACTTTGTAGAAAAATAAGTATCTAAGAGTTATAACTAGCATATACATAGCAATTTATAGTTTGGAAAACACTTCATTAACTATTATTGTAATTCAACCTTGCATAGCATATCATATACTAAAAACTCAGTACTTGTAAACTGAATTGAAGGGAATTTCAATTAATTGAAATGGTTGAATTGAAAGTATTGTAAGGAAATTCTGTTACACTAAGTATCTGAAATTAGAACAACTAACATATTAATAGCATTTGTTGTAAAGACTTTAAAAGTTACTGGCATTATGTGTAGGTTGTGTTTTCTCAATTTTTAACTTATGATTAAACATAAAAATATATACTTAAAAAAAGACAAACTAGTGGAAGAAATGAATGTCTTTCCCACTTATTTGTTGCCTTCTGAATCATAATATATTTTCAATCTGCGTAATTATGTGGGATTTCAGTTAAGTATGGGACTAGAAGTCAAACAGAATAAATGTGTGGTCAGGTTAAAAAGAAAAAACAGTATGCAGGCCTAATCACCATGGCTCCCCATTTCATGTTTGTACTAGAGGCCTGGTGCACAAATTCGTGCAGTAGTGGGATTCCTCAGCCTGGCCAGAGATCAGGTTGTCTCACTCAAGTCCCGAGTGGGGCCAATGGAGGCCAGCCGGCCAGGAACAGACTGCAAGAGGTTGGCCGCCCAGGAAGGACTGCAGGAGGCCTCTAGGGTATGTCCAGACCTCAGCAGCAAGCTAACTTACCTGTCGATCGTCTGCCCCCTGGTGGTCAGTACACATTATAGCAACTGGTGGACTGGTCCAATGGTCGGACAGTTAGCAAATTACACTTTTATTATATAGGGTTAATAGATTTTCTGGTATGTCTCCAATCTTAGCTAATTTCCTCTTTTAGTTCAAGATGAATAGTCATAATATTCCCTTAAAAGTATTAATAGAAGTTAAATGGAATATATTTTAAATTATTTTCCAAACTACATTTAAAATACTCCTAAGATTATATTTTTAAAAGGCAAAACCTTGAAAAAGGAATCGCTAATAAAAACTACGTAATATTTTAAAATCTATTGTTCAGAGTAGCAATTTTCAATCTTTTTCATCTTATAAAACACATAAACTAGTTACTAAAATTCTTCAGTGCACTAAAAGTATTTTTGCCGATTTGACAAAAAAAAAATATAGGTACAATTTTGATTCATTCACACCAGATAGCCATTGTCATGTTGTCATTTTTTAAATTTGACAATATAAGGGAAAAGAGGTCAGTGCCCCAACTAAATCGTCAGGAATTACATGTTTTAAAAATTCTTGTGGCACACCAGTGTGCCTGCCACAGCATACCAATTGAAAATTGCTGCTGTAGGGGAATGGCTAGTTCTCTACCTTCGGATTTCATTTCATCTGTTGTTTCTTCTTCCCCATCTTTGCCAACATCTAATACAGAACTTTGTGTTGAACTGAATGAACTCTGAAAAGAGAGAGAGAGAAAAAAAAAGCCTTTCAAAATGAGTTGCTCTTCTTCAAAATTGCATCAACTCTCCCAATTAAAGAATGTAGATGAATGCCTTATAGTTGCCAAACATCCCTACTTACTTTTTTCTAGGATTTAATGCTGTATATTAGAAGCACTGTAGTAATCGGTCTATTTACTGCATTCACAAGATAAAACGTATTGGCTCAAGGTGTCAACACATCTTCATATTGCTAACAAAGTAATATGCTAAGAATATTATGCTACAAGTACATCAATCTTTGAATTATACAATACTTTCTAGAAACATAATTCACAGCATAGTAAAATCAGACTTTTGAAAATATTTTTTAATATATTTTATTGATTTTTTTATAGAGAGGAAGGAAGAGGGATAGAGAGTTAGAAACATTGATGACATAGAAACATCAATTAGCTGCCTCCTGCACAATCTCCACTGGGGATCTAGCCTGCAACCAAGGTATATGCCCTTGACTGGAATCAAACCCGGGACTCTTCAGTCTATGGACTGGCACTCTATCCACTGAGCCAAACAGGCGAAGGTGAAAATATTTCTTTTACTATTGGAATCATCTTCCATGTTTGTGGGTGAAAGGAAACATTTCATCTTAATTGAGGAAATGAAAGGTTAGTCTTATGAATAAATAGGGGCAAAATAGCTTTTTGTACTTATGACAGTGTACTTTTAAAAGATAAAGAATAGAATATTTTAGAGATTCATGTTAGTCAACTTAATGGTGAATCCATATAACTATTTTCAGTTGTTTCTCTTTACTGTAAAATGCTTTCTCATATAAGTTTTGTATTTATTTAAACACAAAGTTACTTAAATGATCAACATGAAAAGTTCAGAATGATCATGAAATTACCCTAAAAACTGGTGATTATTGTATTTAGGGTAATAGTTCTGATTTTAGAAAGCAATCTTTATTTGTGTATAATTCATAATAGCTCTTCACAAATAATTTATCTATGGAAGCATCCTGCAACTGATTCAAAGGAGTTAGCTTAATTTACCATTTGCCATTTTATTTATCTGTTTGAATATCCACATTTTTCTTTTCCTTCTTTTATAAGAAAATTAATTTGTCCAAGTTACTCTCCAGCATTAATATCTGACTTTTTAAAAAATATTTTTTTATTGATTTTTTTACAGAGAGGAAGGGAGAGGGATAGATTGTTAGAAACATGATAGAGAAACATTGTTTAGCCGCCTCCTGCACACTCCCTACTGGGGATATGCCCACAACCAATGTACATTCCCTTGACCAGAATTGAACTCGGGACCCCTCAGTCCACAGGCCGATGCTCTATCCACTAAGCCAAACCAGTTAAGGCTAATATCTGACTTTTTATGAAAATTCTACCTCAGTAGGCTCATTCGTATTAGTTGCTTCCTGTTTCCTTTCTTTGTTTTCTTCTCCATTTTCCTAAAATGGAAACAGTGTTAATAAGTGTTATCCAGAAGGAACTGCAGATAAACTAATACTTTATACTCTAGTATAGCAAGCATTTTATGTTAAAATTTTTCACATAATGAGTAAACATCATATCAAATAAAATCACACCAAGGTAGTATTTTAACAAATTCAAACAGTAACAGGCTCATTAATATTCTAGAGGCCCAGTGCACAAAATTCGTGCACAGGTAGGGTCCCTAGCCCCGGCCAGCAATCAGGGCCGATCGGGCTTTCTGAATGCTGGCTGGGGCCTTCCTTCCCCAAGCTGCCGGCTGCAGGCCAGAGTCTTTCTTCCCCAGCTGCCAGCTGCCAGCCAGGGCCTCCCTTCATTCAGCGCCACCTCCTGGTGATCAGCACATGTCATAGCTAGCAGTCAAACTCCCAAGGGGACAATTTGCATATTGCCTTTTATTATATAGATAAGGTATGTCAACCAACTAGAAGCAGGCCACTGCTTTTTAGTTAATCCCCCTCCCTCCCCCTTTTTTTTCATTTTTGTCAAAATCTGATGCAGAATACTTCAACTAAAAAGAATTAATTAAATGATAGAGTATGATATTTCATCTAATTCTCCCAAGAAAACTGAGTCTCAAATCCTCTCATGGTTAAATGATTAGGCATCTATTTAGGCCAGGTACCTGAGCAGGTTTGGGTTCCTCTTGAATTGCTGACTCACTCATTTGGACCAGTGAAAAATATCATCAAATGATAGAGGAAACTATTAGAAGACCATTATTAATAACAAAAAGAGAGAAAGACAGTATTAATAGACAACAAAAGGTACTCTGAAAGATCAAAATCTCCCCTGACCCCCACCACATCCCACCATTCTATTGAATGGTAATGAGTTCTCAACTGTTAAATTTTTCAAACTGTAATACTGTTATTTCTGTTATTACTGACCAAAGCTAGATTAATGCTAAGCTAGTGCTCAAGGGGACAAAAAAATTCACCCCAGCAATCATCACTATTATCATTAAGAAAAAACACCAGCAACAGTAATGCAATTGAATTTTTAAAAACATTGTCATCCTTTGAAATAGCAAACAAGATGAGGTGAAGTAAAACTTTGATGGCTACCTAATTCATGTGAGAAAGGCTGATAAGACATTAGAATAATAATCTCACTAAAAAGCATTTTTTTGGAAGGGGAATTCTGAAAGAAATGTGATTTATCTGTTTTATTTATTCATATTAAGGAATTAAATTGGATAATTACCAAGTCCCCACTTCATTGCAAATGACTATAGATTCAACCACAGATTATCAAAATCACTTCTGTGCCAAAATTAATTTAAGACTTTGTGAATGTTTAGTCTAGTCTGTGATATGTAAAAAGCAAATTTATATTCATGGCCTCTGTCTCTAGGGCAGTTACAATCTAAGAACTCTTTAATCTGAAATATTATGCTTATAATGTACTAGAATATTCGCCTTTTTATCAACATAACACATGATCTAGTTGAATAAACCAAAAGTACTGCCTTTGGAGACAACAGATTCCAACACTTAAAAAATAGCTGCCTTGAAGCCTTTTTGAAGCAGTTCATATATAAACTAGATTTGTTTGATAGGTCCCAATTGTACATTCTCACAGACTACTTTCTTTGCTTATAGTGTCCCATCTCCTGAAACTGCTAAGTAGCATCCTTCCATTTCTGCATTTGTAGGAAGTTATACAGAATTGCATTCTGTTTTGTTTGGCATTACATTTAAGCTACCTGGTTGATAGCCTGACAGAAGTGCCCAGTAAGAATCTGAATGCCACTGAAATATATTATGATGCATTTGTAGGAAGTTATACAGAATTGCATTCTGTTTTGTTTGGCATTACATTTAAGCTACCTGGTTGATAGCCTGACAGAAGTGTCCAGTAAGAATCTGAATGCCACTGAAGTATATTATGATGCATTTGTAGGAAGTTATAAAGAATTGCATTCTGTTTTGTTTGGAAACACCCAGATAAATTCAACTCAGGAAACTTTATTTGGGAGCCTTCTATATGCAGGTAAACACTGGGGTTAAAAACATGAATCAGGCCTGCCTTTAAGGGGTTCCCAGGTTAGTGAGGGAAAAACAAATAAACAGATGCAACTCACTTTGCAAAGTGCAAAAGTACAGGCACATACAGAATGTCCAAGAACACAGAGGAATAAGTAATATATTTTTCCAGAGATATCAGGGAATTTTTCACAGAAAAATAGATTTTCAAGCTGTATTCAGGGGACTAGTAAGACCTTTTGTATAAAGGTGTGGGGAAGATTATTTGAGGCAGAAGGAACAATACACACACAAGAGGATATGAAAGTTCAAAAAGTGTTTGAAGCATTCATGTAATAGATCATCTATATATTAATATATAAAAGCCTAAGCGACTGTTTGACCATTCAACCATTTGACTGGTAGCTATGATACACATTGACCACCAGGAGGCAGATGCTCAGTGCATAAGCATGGAAACATGGAACAGGTTGATGAATCTCAGAAGGAAAGGGGGAAGGGAGGAGGGCAGGAAGAGATTAACCAAAAATCTTATATGCATACTAGAGGCCTGGTTCATGGTCCCTCAGCCTGGCCTGTGGGGATCAGGCCAAAACTGGCAGTCTTAACATCCCTTGAGGGGTCTTAGATTGCGAGAGGGTGCAGGCCAGACTGAGGGACCCCACTCTAGTCCTATATAATACTATATAATAAAAGCCTAATATGCTAAGTTGGCAGGTCAGCTATTCAACCAATCAAAACATATTATGGTCAAAACTGGTTTGGCTCAGTGGATAGAGCATCAGTCTGCAGACTGAAAGGTCCAGGTTTGATTCTGGTCAAGGGCATGTACCTTGGTTGCGGGCACATCCCCAGTAGGGTGTGTGCAGGAGGCAGCTGCTCGATGATTCTCTCTCCTTGATCTTTCTAGCTATCTATTCCTCTCCCTTCATCTCTTTGAAAAATCAATAAAATATATTTAAAACAAACAAACAAACATAATACGCTAATGACTAGAAGCCCAGTGCATGAAATTTGTGCACGAAGGGGGGTGTCCTTCAGTCTAGCCTGCACTCTCTCCAATCTGGGACCTCTATGGGATGGGGTCTAAACTGGCAGTTGAACATCCCTCTCACAATCTAGGACTGCTGGCTCCCAACCACTTGCCTGCCTATCTGATTGCCCCTAATTGCTTCTTCCTGCCAGTTTGATCACTCCCTACTCCTCTGCCAGCCTGATCAAAACCTAACTGCTCTCCTGAAGGCCTGATTGCCCCCAAATTCCCTCCCTGCTGGCCTGGTCTCCCCTAATTGTCCTCCCCTGCAGGTCTGGTCCCCCCAACTGCCCTCCTTCCCCTGCTGGCCTTGTCACCCCTAACTACCTTCCCTTGATGGCCTGATCACCCACAACTGCCCTCTCCTGCTGGCCATCTGTGGCAGCCATCTTGTGACCACAGGAGGGTGGTCATCTTGTGAGAGGGTGTGATGGTCAATTTGCATACTACATCTTTATTATATCCGATTATATAGGATATGCTAAGGCTGCTCAACTGCTTCTATGACATGCACTGACCACCCAGGGGCAGACAGTTGACCAGTCACTATGACATGCATTGACCACCAGAGGGCAGAGCTCCAACCAGTAGGTTAGCTTGCTGCTAGGGTCCAGCTGATTGGGACTGAGCAAGCTGGGCCAGACACCCTGTAACCCCTTCTGTAGTTCCTCCCCAGCTGGCCAACGTCCTGTGTCCCTCCCTGGCCCTGATCATGCATAAATTCGTGCATCAGGCCTCTAGTAGTTATATAAAAGAAAGTGACAGAAAATGAAAGTAAAAAATGTCAATCAATAGTCATTGGTGCCAATTTAGTGCCAACGGGAAGCTTTAATTTTGGGTGCAGAAAAGAAACTTTATTCAGTGGTGATAATGTTGAGGGGGATATAGCTGCACAACCAACTGAGCAGGGAGAAAGAGGAAGCCTCAGTTCCATTGGTTAAAAGGATTTCAGGAAATTCTCTATCAGGGCTGGTTCAAATGGCAGAAACACAGTGCAGGAAGGCAGTGTAGTGCAGGCTGCAGGCAACTTAGTTCAGGCTTCTCCCTAAAGTGCAGTTTGCATGAGAGGCCCCTGGTTAGAAATGGCTGCTAGGCTGTTCTCCCCCCCCCCCCCTTTGTGTGTGTGTGTGTGTGTGTGTGTGTGTGTGTGTGTGTGTGTGTGTGTATTTGATTTTTTTTAAAGCCCAGTTAAGCCATTAGGAGCCCTTTTTAGTAGGTATCTCTTTCTCAGGATCCACAAAAGGTAAATTTTCAATTTGCAAAGAGTTACTCATGCTAACGCAAGGAGTTTAGACTTTATTCTATGTGTGTATTTTAAACATAGTACAGATGTGATCAAGTTGGTGGTTCCAGCAAAGACTGGAAGTGTGAAGGAATGGGGTGGGGAAAAGAGAATCAAGGTATATTTTGCATCTTATATGCTGCACCTGAGATGAATGCCTCATTGCCCCTCACTCTACTCTATGATAGTTTAGGCTCTGCCAGACATTGTCAGTATCCTAACCATATTCCTTCAGCTTCACCTTTACAAAACATGCAAATAAATGGCTTCTGGTTGCAAGCATTTGCAATTCTCTCAGAGGACTCCCTGACAGTTCAAATGTGGAACAGGCCAGAAGAACTTGAAAGTTAATATCTGATGGGAGAAGCCCTCAGTTGTTGATGAATAGGAAGTTGCATAGCCTCACAGGTGGAGCATTTCTGAAGCATGTTCTATTCTGCCTCCCAAAGTTACCCATTGGCACTGAGCTTCAGTTGCCCAATATTGCATTTGATACTCAACAATACAGGCTTCCTTCATTTCCTATATTTCTTCCCTACACCTTTACTGTTGTTTTTTGGAACCACCTCCCAATGAACTTGTGTTCAACATTTTAGATCAGGGTCTGTTCTGAGAGAACCCAAACAAAAACAGCTACAATGATCAGGACTGGGGCATAGTTGGATCTAAGGAGTGAAAGAAGAGATTAGTGAAGGCTCACTGAGTGTTTTCTTTTTTTCCATGTTTAGGAAGGTGAATGGATGGTGATGCCATTTGTTGAAATAAGGGAAGGAAAGAATAACAGGTTTGAGGAATGATACAAATTTAAGTTTGGAGGCATTACATTTACACTACCTGCTTGATAGTCTGACAGAAGTGTCCAGTAAGAATCTGAATGCCACTGAAATATATTATGATGCATTTGTAGGAAGTTATGCAGAATCAAGACCACCAGAAAATGATGGAAGCATTGTCCAGTCTAAATAGCATTACTTTGCATCTGAATTACTCAACTGTGTACAGCATTCTGCACACCTCACGCTCCCATCCATAAGATTCTCGAGTCATTCCACTTAGGTTGTTGGCTGTGAGCTAGCCTTTGTAAATTTAGTCTAGGACTCTGCACACATACACTCCCAATAGATTTGTAAATTGGTGAATTGCAGCATTTGGCATCTTGGTTGGCAAGACTGTCAGTCATATATAAAGCGCAGCCAATTATCCTTGAGGAAGGGGTTTCCCAGTATAAAAAAGAAATCATACATTATTCTGATTACTCAGACTACTAAAAGATATTTGATTTAATTAGATTTGTTATGAATCTTGATCCACTGAGTATCGATAGAAAATGTCTTTGTAGGAGGTTGCTAGTGTAGCTCATCCAG